GTCACCTTCACAGCTGTCTCCAGTCTTAATGCTAAGCTAACAGCTAACATATACATACAGTATGTCAATTTTCTCAAAGTGTTGTACGTCACCTTAAACCCATGCAGTGAACCAGACCGCACAATATGAGGAACCGCCACCACTAACTGCAGTGTGGGTTAATTAGGTTATTAGACACACCTGTGTTTGACAAGTCAAAATGTGCTCTGTGATGAAGGCGGTATTTGCTATTTTCAGTGCTAGATGATACTACGGAGTGAGGAGAAGACACTGGCATGTTGGGTCATCTGTGTCTCAGAGCAGTTTCTCATTAAGTTGTCTACTGTCCCACACAGACTGTCCTTTGTTTACATCATGACTCGGGCCAGGGGCTGTGTATTTTTCTCATTATAATGCATAAACAAGAGTCCTTTCACCACTACTGCTAGATAAGATGTTTTACTATACATCTGTAACACAGAGTGTGCCACTGACACAGCCATGTTGGAGACACATTGATTAACTACGAAGGACTATGCACTAAAAAAAAAATACTGACCAGTCATTGCGGCACTTGAAAGACGCTTCTTGCCAGAGTGTCTTGAGTTGAGAGAGAGTCAGATCTCTCAGTTGGAAAGCCAGTTGAAGGAACTCTTGTGAGACCTAGGAGCAGATAAAATGGACACACATATATGGACATATGGCCTCCGGCAGAACTGTGAACATACATTTTCATCTCATTGATCCCCTGATCCCCAAACAGTAATTATATCACAGGGTGTCAGCCTCTGGCTCTGAGGGCCTCTTTTAAACAGTTCCCAAGTAAATAGACTATGTTGAAGGTTGCCAGATTGGGTTTGACTAACCTCCTGTGTATGGGAGACATTAAAATCATTGGCTCATATACACAGCAAAGCCTCAGGGGAAGTCAAACCACAACTTATAAACCCAAACAAGCTTACAGCGGTCTGGCAGGGACAGGCTACTTAAAAGTGATTCATATTCATTGCTGAAGGAGCGGCAGCACCTAAAGCGTAAATCAGGTAAACTGAAACACACAATGAGTATTTCTTACAGATAAATACAGTAAAAAAGCCTCTTAAAAACCTGTTGCATTTGAGGCCTACCAGTTGTGGGTCTGAGGTGATGCTACATAACATCCTGACAGTCTGACTGGCTTGCTGTAGTGTTGATGACTTGGGTTTTCCTGGCCGTGAAGCTCCTTCTTCCTCAAACTGCAGGTTGGTTAGCACACCATGACTTAAAGAATCTGCCGGAGCAATGAGGGGAACAAGCATCAGGATCTGTCTCTCATACAGTTCAAGCTGATACAGAAATGCAAAATGGTTCCTGACCTGTTGCCGAAGGACTCCCTGGCTGGGCTCTGAGCAGGAGCAGCGTAGACACTGTTTGGGTCTTCACTGACCCTGCAGGCCTGGACCATGTTACCATGGAAACAGCTTCAGTGCAGTTGACCTCCTCCATCACTGTAGATCCATGGCGCTGAACACAGTGTAGTTCTGACTGCACTGACTAGCAAAAAGACAAGAAACAAACCTCCCTTGAGAATCAATGACTGATGTTATATTTATAATAGTGGTCTAAAAAACATATCCTCTTATTATGTTGGACAGAAATCTCAAGTGACAACCAGCGTCATCACCCTTTTTCAACTTCCTATTTTCTTGTAGTCAGATAGAAATTCATTTTCCTTAAGGGCCAGAGCTGCGATTTTAGAATTGATGTGGTTGTGGGTCAGAGTCCTGCAATCCAACCCCCCCGGGCCTATTTTTCTGCTTCCTGAAATGATAGTTTAAATGTCTGTTTCTGTTGAAGAAAAACTAAATCCTTTATAAATTTATTGTACCTAAAGGTAGTCATATTCAAATATACTGAGTGTAAAAATATTGAAATCAGCCTATAACATTGGCGTATCTTTATAATTGTTGAGAGTATATGTCCCCCAAAATTCTCAGAAAAAGTCCAAGACCTCAGTGTCCTCAATGGCAGATACGTTACCATACATTTTGAACAGACAGAGGAGTGAACTCACTGTATCTTCAGTTAAAGCCACTGAATGAGGCCAGAAGTTTGCCAGCCTGGACTCTTGGCACTGTTTTAGATCCCTGGTCTTTAACAACACCGGTCCTCGCCTCTCATATCTGCTGCTGCACGTCCCGTACACATCTGTCTGAGAGAGAGGCAGTAAAGGAAAGTCAGATAATCACAACATATTATGGCATGATGATGTTAATGTCAGTTATTGTTAGTAGTAAGAGTAGAGGTGATATCTGTCAGACTATAGACGGAGCTGTTGTTGCTCTTGTTTTATTCTGAAATCTCCATTAAGACTGGTTTCCTGCACAGATTTATACAAATCTCTTTACATGTAAATATCTGTGTAAACTGGGCACATACTACATAGACCATGACCCTTATAAACCCTCACCTCCATTTCCTGTCTGGCAGTCGTACGGGAGGTCTGGAGCATGCTCAGTAGAGCCCTTTTAATGTTGAGGGCCCACACCTGCTCCCCCTCCTGGCGACAGAGGGCCGTGACCTTTCCCCCCTGGAGGGAGAACTTGAGGCGCGTTCTCTCGAGTGACTCCCTGAGAAACAAAAACACCAGATGAGCCCCCTGAGACCCGATAACACAGACAAGTGGAGCGTCCTAAAAGAGTATCACATTCATAGGAAAAACAGTTGTAGCATTCCAAAATGATCTGGATTTTCACTGTGAACACTGCAGACTGAGACCACATGCACATATGCAAAATAACTGAGCAGATAAAAGGTAAATCATGCATTCATTCACTCAATTGCATGTATCACCTCAGGCTTTTTAAGCGCTGCACAGAGTGTTCCTTCTGAGGGGAAAGCCGTTTTATCTGCGGATTCCTAATCTGTTGGACAAACGTGTACATGAAACCACATCATCATAGACTTTTTGCAGTATTTTACAAACAGTTTTAACGAAGCTGACCTGCATCATTAGGTGACACTTGGAGACCACATCAATATCAACCACACAGTCCAAAGCCAGTCCATTCCTGCCAGCATTGGAGCCATGAAGGGTGGTGGTAATTGTCGTGCTATACCTGTAAGTATACCTCACCCCTCTCTGAAAGGACAAGTCAGGGGTAGGAAGCCCTGTGGACATGAAATTATACAATAAAAAATCAAAAAAAGAAAAAAAAAATCATTGCGGAAAATCCTGTGATTTGCTAATCAACACAGAAAAGAAACAAAACGTATTATGGATGTATTTGTCAATTAGCATGCATCAGATGTGACGTGCATTAAAGGGAGCAACAAACAAAATTCTCACCAGCACAACTTGAATCACAGAGATTTGGTTCCACCTGAAAGCAATCACCTACTGCACAGAGAGTCAGGTACAAACATCTCAGAATTGCTGACAAATAATATAACTTTTTCAAAGAAATCTTGTTCAACTTCTATACATCTGTAACACTCACAGTCATGTCATCGTGACACCAGTTGAATGTGTTTTCAGTGGGAAAATGACACATTAAGAATTCACATATCTCACATCAAAAGCCATAAAACTCACCATGTAGCAGGAGGAAAATCAGTATAACATGTAGACAATGAAGCCATAATAAGGACACAGCCATAGCAACCCCAAGTCACTGCAGGTCTGGCTGCCTCCGAGCCTCCACATGTAAGTGAGATGAAAACCAAGCACTGTTCACAGCCACTGAATGACCACACTTGTACGTGGGCTTCCACAGTGACCCATACTGCTCACAGCAACCAATCAGGAAATACCTTCCAGACTGAAGCTACAAACATCCACTGAGCCAATCACTTGACACTGCACAGGGCCTCATAAAAAATGAGGTTTTCCTATACTCTCATTGACTTGGACAGACATTAAACATGAGCCTCATATGGGGAGAAAATTCTGTTTATTGAAGGAAAGTTAAACAGTTTAAAGGGGGCAGGCAGCAGATATCCAGTCTGAGACATAGTTAGACCATATAGCAAGGTGCATTATGAAGAAGTGGACAATGAGAACACCTTTCAATATAGTACAAAAAACAGCACAACAAAACAAAGCATGAAATAACAACCAAAGTGTTTATGCTATTATACCACCCCTACAATTAAATAGATTTGTTTGGAGGATACACACACACACTGTCAATATGACCATAATCAATAAACCACACAACCAATATGGGTTCTAACCTCTTAAAGGCAGATTCAGACTTTTCTGAAGACAAACAAGTACAGTTGAGAGAGGTAAGCAAACGAGGGGAGAGACATCTAGTGTCTGTGTCTTATGGATAAAAAGAAATGAAAAAGTGGAGATTCGGTGGAGTTATCACGGCCCACTGAACTGAAAAGCCCTCCACCACTCAGCCACGTTCTCCAGCGTTTGACTGGGCTCAAGTTAAATTATCCAACAAGCCTTTCATCCCAATCTCCTTCCCCCCATCATTACCCAAGCTGCCTGCCACCTACTTTCCAAGATGCACCCGCCGCGGTCCACGCCCGAGCTTCCGACGTCAGATAGTGCGTGCCGCCGAGTGACGCTGCATTCAAGCACTTGGAAAAGTAGTATTTAAGAACTCCATTTGAAAAATACTGTTAACTCGCTTTCACCCAAACTTTCAGGTCTTCAGATAGTAGAGGTAGGTTAGTTTGTTACATTAATTATGGCAAATATAGTTTAGAATGCGAAAATATAAAACAATATTCCTTGGTAATATGTAAAATACACTTAAATAGCACAACTAGGTGACAGATTTTTCCATTTGTGCTTGATAGTGCGATTTGTGACTTGCTTTAGGGCATTACGTTAAATGTATCACTTAGCAAATCGATATTGCAGTTACAGTAACAACAAAATAAAAGCACTGATTTGGCCTTTACAGAGATTCAAACGGATAAACACCTCCAAAACATTTTCACTGATAGTCCCTGAATGCATCCTGGGGGGGCGTAGGTTTGACCGGCTACTCTGAGGCTCAGACACAATGAACCGTCAGACGGAGAGGTGCACGCATGTTGGGCCAGAGGTATTAACACGGTTTTAGTACATTATTATTAATTTTTGTGCCTTCTCTTTGACTTACTTTGTAATTCTCAAACTACTGACACGCTGTATGGCGGTTTCAAGGCTCAACTGGGAACGGTTAGTTCGACGAGTTTGATGAAAACGAGGTCGGGATCAGACTACCGTTAGCCCCTCCTGGCGGATTTTTTTTCGTTATTTTTTTTCTAGCTAAAGCCAACAAAGCAAAGCAGATAACGATGTCGTTGACTGCATCGTCTGATTATTTCGCTGCCGAGTGTCTGGTATCGATATCTAGCGGTCCTGTCCTGCATAGACCCACCCCGGTCGTCCCCGCCAGCCAGCCGGCCATGGTGGGCCTGCTCCCTGGGGAGCCCGACGGGTCGAGAGAGGATAGGGAAGTGCGGGAGACTCTGGGGCTGGAGGGGGCGAACATGTTGGCGGTGGCCGGTATCCTCACCGACCTGCACGGTAAGTTCCGCCCCATGTCGGCCTACTCGGAGAACAGTAACTCATCATGTGGAGAGAGCGGTTACACCACGTTGTCCGACCCAACCACTCCTACCATGACACCCTCCGCCACCCCGGTCCCCGGACAGCAGCAGCAGCTGAGGGGGGGAGGAGGAGGAGGAGGCGTGGGGGCCCCGCGGTCCCCGGTGAAGCGACATCAGTGCACTTTTGACGGATGCGACAGAGTTTACGGGAAATCGTCCCACCTGAAGGCACACATCCGGACACACACAGGTATGGAGACAACAAAAGCTCACACGTTGTGTAGCTACACCTAAATATAAACTTTGTCCTCAACTTCTGCTTTGTCGGTGACATTCGCACCCATATTGTTATGACCATTATATCAGCTAATGTGGGAAGCTATGTTGTACTCAATGGGATTAGTTCATAGCAGCATGGTGGTGGCTGTTTTTTCCTCATTTACCCCCGACTTGGTTAAATAACGTGGCCAAACAAAGAGGGACGTACAGAAAGACTCCCCTTCAGAGTCTCTGACAAAGAAGTAAACTAACAAAAGAACTGGGCTGGACGTTAAAACCGGTGACGAAGGTCTTCCTCCCGATTAGATTTGCATATGAAATGAACGTAAGACGAAACCTTAACGTCGGGGGCAGAGAGTTCATTGTCGGACACAGCCTCTCCTGTTGATGGTAGCAGCAAGTGCTCGATGTTTGGCTCATCGTTTTTTTTGTGGGCATCACATCTTCTTCGTGGGGGTCTGCTGATGAGCTCACATGGGCTTTATCTGCAGCATTTTTAATAAACCGTATGAGGGAGAGCTGTAGAGGGAGGCGCGTCCGATAGTGGATGCGTCAGCCCTGAGTGTGATATACTACACCTTTTCATTAGTTTTTGGGTGTTTGCTGAGGCAATATGGCAGAATATGTTGTTTCGAATCACTTAACAATCCGTTTTGTTACTTTAGATCGCAATCGTGTGTTGGCACGATGTTAAAAGCTAGATTTAGTTGGAAACAGGCCCACCCGTGAGAATGATAGCGGAGCTCTGTGGCACGTAGTTAAAATGTTCATGTGATTATTTTTTTTTATTTCGCAAAATGAGGGGAATTCGTGTGTTCGGGGTCACTGAGCAGGCGCAAACGGATTAAGGGCAGGAAACGGCTCAAAGGAACTCTGGTGGGAACGCCCTCAAAGAGTCCTACAACAACAACGTGGCTTGGCTTTGTGATCTTGAAAATGGCACCGAGCATCCTACTCGCTTATCGGGGTTTGACTCTGTTGCCTGCAAGAGATTAAGGCTACTAGTAGCTTATGAAGACTAATCTGGAGAATCTAAATCCTAGAAATGTTTTGTCACGTATTTAACTATGTAGAGATTAATATTTTTTGTCTCCACCATATTCCATAAAAAAAATGCAGGCTGTAGATTCATGTCACAATCTATGTATTTATTCAAACTGTTCTTTGAAGTATGAATCCAGCTACCCAGCTGTTACATATACATAAATTGCATATCTTGGAGCTGAAGAGATTTGTTAATTAATCGATCAGTAGGTCAGTGTAGAATTAATCGACAGCTATTTTGATAATCAGTCATTTAGTCATTTTCAAAGCCAAACTAGCTCAACATTCCCTGGTTTCCATCTCTTAGTTGCGAGGATTTACTGTATTTCTTTGTGTTATGTAATAGAAAGCAAATATTTTGCAGTTTAGCGCTGTTGGTCAGAAAAAACAAGATGTCACCTTGGATTTATACATATCTTCTGACATTTTATAGGCAAAATGGTGAGCAACACTGCTTTGCACTAATCAAGTCTCCTGTTACTGCTTCTAACATGTTTTTAGTCATTAAACAAATCTTTTGCATGCTTGTAACGTAAACTTGGTGACTCAAAGTTGTATTGTAAGCGGTCAATGACATGGTGCTTAATGGTTAACCCTGCTCTCATCTGTGTCCATGCTGCAGGTGAGAGACCATTCCCATGCACCTGGCCTGACTGCGAGAAGAAGTTTGCCCGCTCCGATGAGCTTGCACGCCACACCCGCACCCACACAGGAGAAAAACGCTTCCTGTGCCCACTGTGCGACAAGCGCTTCATGCGCAGCGACCACCTGATCAAGCACGCCCGCCGTCATCCTGACTTCCAGCCCTCCATGTTGGGACGCAACAAGGGCACATCCTCTGCTTCCAGCCCAGCTGTGCACCATTAGGATGGTTTGGGATGGGGGTTTCCTGTGTACTGGGGTCAGCAGAGCACAGAAGATGTCAGTGGTTTCAAGTTAACCAGCTACAATCAGATCCACTGATTAGGATTGAGCATTGTTATGTTGTACTGTAAATGTGCACATACACAAGCGAACACACACAGAGCTGGATGTGAGAGGGAAGTAGCCTCATCTCTCCATCCACACAGATGAGTCATGTGACCACTATCCACCTACTCAACATAACTAGGGTTGGGTATTGAGAACGTTTCAAATCTATAAGAACTGAGGATTTGTTAACAAATGTGCTTTTCGATTCCACTTATCGTTTCCTGAAAGCAGAGTCTGGACTTACTGCACTTCCATTTACATTGCAAGTTACACGTGTATCAAAGCACGTGTATGTTGTTTACAATGTGGCAGACTGGGGCTAGGTTTCAAAAGTGAAACTACGCTTCACAAAAGACTAATAATACAATGAAATGTAATCACTGTATGAAAATAAATATATGTGAGGGAGGAAAGTCATTCTAATATGACGACATGATGTAAGAATGCAGAGCATTTTAATATCCTGTGTGATAACATATTGAAATTCAATGGTGAAACGTTTTATAGATTAAATAACCAGATGGGAATGTCAGTTTTTGGTTTGTCCTCTGAATTAAATGCTGGACAAATCAAGGTGCCTATCAGACTGATGCAAAAATTCTGAAAAGCCATTTATTAATGCTTCAGAAAGTAAAAACTACTTTAAAACCAATTCAAGTTTGCATGGCAAACAGAGAATATATATTTGTCTTTCTTTTAACCAAAAAAAAAAAAAAAAGTTTATCAGTCAAAACCTTGTAAAAATAAATGTGGTTTTTGCTTTCCACATATTCTGGTTTTCTTTCTTAATCAGGGTTCGATAAGAATCGGAATCATGAAGCAGATTTTATTCGGTAAAATAAACCCAACCCTAAACATAACCTCATTTTCTCAAACTGAAACACTTTCACAAATTGCAGGGATTTTTCACGTTTTCTGTACAAATCTGCACATTCATCATCGGCCAAAACTCCTCTGTTTTCTTGTGGTTAATTTGCTGATTATTGTTGTACTCTTCAGTACCATTTATTTACCATGAGTAGCACAATATTGTGATGTTAGGTAGCGAAGCAGTGACTAGAAGCTTTTTAGCTTTTTTTGTTTGTTTGTTTTTAGCTTTGCCAGTCCATATTCAAAGTTTTAGTGGTGACACATTCCTTGATATTTTTTTTTTTTTTTTTTTTTTTTTTTGCATTAGTAAACAACATTGAGGTGATATTTGTCAATATTTTCTTTAATATTGAATTTAACAATAGATCAAATATTAATTTTGCCAGAAAGTGGATCAAACTTCACTGTAGAGGAGCTGTTTGCACGCCATCCTTGAGGCTTGATCAGTAATCATTCATGAAATGCTGACACATAATACACAGTAGTATTATGTCTAATACTGATGCAAATGTATATAAGCTTTAAGCTTTTAATGTAGAAACATGGTAAAGCTACTAGCAGCAGAATTAATACGTGATGAATTGTAGTCCTTATATTAGGGGTAACAGTATACGCTTGATAGGATGGTATTGCCTGTGAGTGTCAGTGTGTATGTTTTTTGTTTTTGTTTTTTAATTTACATTTTTGTTAGCGACAGAACTGGGAAAAGTGTATGTGATAATATCAAAATATTTAGGGGGAAAAAGATGACATGAGTTGAGCTTGATATTCAGCTCGCTGCCTTCAAAGTAAAAGAATTCACCCCACTCATCAGGGGTGTGGAGCCAGATGGCTGAACATATTTTTCAGGATCAGGTGTGCAAGAGGTTTCTTTACACGGTTTGAGTTTCAACAGCCGACAAACTGCGGTCTTAACTAGCGTTGAAAAAATAATCCCTATTATAACTCTGTGTTGGGATCAAAATTTGTATAAAATATATCAAAGTAATTTAAACATGGTCAGTCTGTCCCCATTTAGGAGAACTAATACCAGTAGACCTTTATTGTGGAGGACGTTATAACTTGTCAAAGCAGCAGAAGCACAGGTGTAACTAACGATAACGATGGCTCTGTTCTCTGCAGGTGTGCCATTGAACCAGCATGCACAGTACTTGTAGGCAGACACTTCTAAATGGGATGCAGCCATTAATGATGTTATTACATTTGTGTTTGATAAATTAAAATTGCCGCTGTTATAAAGGTTTGGTACTATGCTGGAAAAAACAAACACAAATGAGGATTTATTAAAATACTTTAGTACATTAGAGCAAGCTGGAACCTCAATATTCCTATCTTGCCAAAACAAACCTCATGTATTTTAGGAATTATTACAGAAAAATTATTTTCACGTTTAACAGAATCAAGCAAACCTCATGTAAAGTAGATATTTAAAATCTATTGGAGTACATGCAGTGTCCAGGTCTGATTCTAGAGAGGTTGAATCTTTTCTTTTTTTTAATGTTTCCACACTGTTTGTCCAACTCATGTACATATTCCTTTATCTCAGTGAACAACAATTCTTCAGGAAACTCTGAAAGCCTTAAACTATGTCATAACTACTTTGCACCATGTTTACAGTTGAATCATTGTATAGGTATATATGCTCTCCTCTGGGCTCATTACAAATACTCATTATGCAATATGGCACTTTTTTCTTACAGGTGTATTTGGCTGAATAGTGTAATGGCTTGCACTGTTACTATGCTTCTACAAGAAAGCACTGTGGAACTTTGCTAATGTGTTAATAACCAATGGTTTGTAAAACTGCCTTTTTGTCCAAGTGCTTTAGAAAGCGTGATAAAAGAACTGGGTAGTTGTTGTTTTTACTTTTGTTTATTTTAGTGTTTGCTTAGTCATCCAGGCCATCTCATGTTGTGGAATTTGTTTAATTTGAATTTTGAAATGAATTTGATTTAATTTTCTGGATGGGACATACGTCATTCGTTGCTCCCAGATCTGACGACTTTGTTTCCTCCACACTAAGATCAAAGAGAACATCTTCACACGTCTTCCCTCTTCATACGTCAAACCATCTTCATATGCCATTTCACTGTTGATCTGTTCATTTTAACAGGAACTGTACTCATTGTAGTGAATGCCATGCTTTGGAATTTTGTACACATTTCCTCAGAGGTTCAATCTGTTGACAGTTTTTGGTTGCTGCTGGCAGTAACCTTGAACACATGGACTGTTTAACAAAGGAACACACACAATATACCTGTTTTCTACGTTGTCAAATGGAAATATATCCTTCCATCTTTTCTAACAGATGGAAGTGTCTTTTCACTCAGACTCTGCCCGGGTCTCAAAGCTATAATATCACAAGAAGAACATACCTCACAGATTTTTTCTTTCCTTTGCGGTATCTGTACAGCATCCATCCAACCTATCTTTCAGAAATTCCTATAAAGCCATTGAGCCTTGGGTTTCAGTTTTTATCAGCTAGATGGTCTGTTATGTAGCCTTGTCCTTCTATTGTCTGTATATGCAACATCACTACTACCTGTGTAGCAACAGAGTTTCTGTTTCCCTGCCTCAATGAACTTCTGTTGTTAATAGACAGTGGTAAATGAATCTACTGGATAAATCCTGCACCAACAGTCCCTGTCATTAAAGCTCAGCAGCTGTTTAAGTTACCAAGGGAAAGAGTCACTGCTGGCTGGGGCAGAGGCTGAGAAGCGTTATTAAAATGTAAGAATACCTGTAGACTGTCACTTCACTGCAGATATTGATTGAAAGAGCTCAGTCCAAATCTGTTTGTTCATATCACTGAATGTGGCTTGATGACAGACGAGCATTATCCACTTTGGATTTAATTTTTGCTGCGCTGCCTTGCTGAGAAGAAAAAAAAGAAAAAAAGCGATAATTTCTCTTGTCACCACACTAATTCAGATATGCACATTGTACAGAAACGGATGTTTTTTAAATTGATGCCTAATTTTTACATTAATGTAATTTTTAAAATCCTCTTATCAAAGCTTTAGTTAAGGTGAATAGGAGGAACTGTGGAACTAAATAATTGCTGCAACAAGCTGTTTTGATATTTATATTCTCAGGTGTCTTAAATTTTGAGCATTGGACTTTCAATATTTCCTGTGCAACACCGAAGTACAAGCATGTTTTATTTCTTTTGTTATGCTGATTAATTTATTACAAAAAAAAACGTATCATTTGTGTGGTTTAATTATTCTTTTCATAACTCACTTTGTGATATGGAACAGTACTAATATTAAATAGTTCCATTGTTTGCTTGACATGAAAATACCAGTGCTTTTTTTTTTAAAATAAAAATCCTTAAGTTGATGGTTGTGTGAATGTTTTTTTTTCTGGTGAAAAGTCACGCTAAAAAAGTGTCGGACTCAATAAAATAACAGAATTGAGTTATTGAGGAGAGTAATGTGGTTCAGCTGATATTCAATAATGAGTTAGAGTCCTAAGCTTATGACTGAATAGCATGATGTTGCAACTGTTGAAAGACATCTTGACGCGGTAATGCACCTCAGGTTGTGTTAACGTGTCAATGTCAGGACTGGAGTATTTGATTAAAGCCTCCATCTTGGGCTTGTCACCATTAGATGGTGTTTCTGCTCTTTTTCCTGATCTAAACAAAATGGTAGGCGCACTTTCATTTGTTATATTTGTTTGTTGCTGCCACCATGACTAAAAGGAAAATGACTACTTCATATTATAATGTTAAAAACAGAACTTTTAGGATCTAATAAGATCCTTTTTGTCAGAACAAGATATTTGTATTTTTAATGTTATGACACTTTCTAATTATTACTACATACCAAAAAATTTAATTTTTACAAGAAACCTTTCATGTTATAACATTTCATTTAATCTATATCACAAAACTCAAACTAAACCAGATTATTGGACCAATAATTAGACAAAACCTTGTTAAAATGAAAAAAGTCCGTACAGACTGATGTCATTAAAATGTATAAAAAGAGTTTTTTGTCATGGTTGCAGCATAACAAAAACCATGTAGTGCAATTAAGAAACGGGTGTATTTCTGGGCCTTTATTTCTTAAACTAAGTCTAATGTTTAACAGCTGTAACAGAAAAAAACGTCACTTTTGGACAGACTTACACACTATGTTTGACCGTCTTGGTCTTCACAGGTGGTCCCGGTCCTTGACTTGACTGTGGGCTATTTTGTAAATATGTGTCAGTAAAGTCCAATTTCAACTGAGGTGATAAGGGCGTTTCAGTTGGGTCTTTAGGAAGGTCTTTGTGATAAAATGTCATTCTTAGACTTTCTATTTCAGTTTTATGCTTTGAGTTTCTTCTAATTAACACTGAGAAAAACCTTCCATCTTAGAAACACTGCACAGAGGTTGCCCCCAGGTTGTTAAACTGGTTATAGTTCATCTCTGCGTCCACTGCCAGAGACGGGAGGCACGTCACCGCGAGCAGACTGAGAAGCCACACGTCCAAACCCAAGCTCCTCAGTTTCCTGCTCACGCCGGTGTTTGGCTCCGTCTCTGTCCCAGTCTGTTTCCACTGCCTCATCGTCCCAGATGGTGGATGTCTCTGTGTCGCTGAAGTAGCCGGGCTCGCCGGTGTAGTGTGTGGGGAAGAGCAACAGAGGCTCCGCTGAAAAAGCTCTCAGGTCCCTCTGCTCAAAATACTGCATGTACTCGTCTCTGAGGGAACAAGGAAGTGTGAACGTTAGGAGAAAAAAAAAAAAGAAGAAGAAGAACAAGGCGGTTTCACTTCACTTCAGACTGAATACAAAAAGCTCTCACTCGTATTCAAAGGTTAACGTTTGAGTATTTAAATTGTAGATGAGACTCACTTGGGGTGCTGGTTGAACATGATGGGTAAGAACTCATCAACGGGCAGCATTTTGTGCAGTGGCTTTGCCTGCAGGAGCTTCTCGGCCCCCTGCAGGGACAGCACGTACCCCAAGGTCCAGTAGGAGTATCCTGGGTGCACGAGGTTAATGACTCCCTTTACCCAGAACTCTGGCTCCTTCACCTGCAGCCGCTTACGACCCACATAACTTCAGGGAGACAGGTCAGTGAGTGAGGTATGTTGAGTAAAATAAATTTTTAAAAAATCCCTTTAAAAAATAATGGTAATATGCACCTTTTCAAAAACTCACTTACATCAGGTCCCAGTCGAGTCCCACTCTCATCACGTTGTCCATGATGGCCAGAAGCCTGCTGCGAAATCTGGGCTCAAATCTGACATCATCCTCCAGCACAAGCACCTGCTGCAGTTCCTGCTGCACCACCTAGGAGGCGACACCCAACAGCCATAATTGTCATGAGCAGCCTCGAGGTAAACCTGTCCATACCGCCGCAAACGCACCAGCTCCAGTGCACGGTACATTGTGCTTGAATTGAACTGCACAGTGTTAAACTGTACCTGCTTCCAGATGTTGTAGTGGCTGAGGAAGCAGCCGATCTCCCCTCGAGTCAGCACACGGCCTGAATACGGGTCTTTATACCCAGGCAGCATGTCTATAGCCATGGCCTGCAGCTGAGAGGAGTTCAACGCTCTGTGGACAACAAAAGAAAATACATTTCATCATTGTCAGTGTAAGTCTGAGAAAAACGTTTCCTGACATTTGGAGCCTTGTTTCTCATTTCACCATCAGCTCCAACTCCATGAAGGTAGAGAGACCTAATATGGTTAAATCTCACCTTTAAAGATACTTAAATTAAAAAAACTCTAGTTTTTTATGTTTTCCAACAGAAAGTTCATCATACAGTTGATCATACAGAAACCGCATAAAAAGTTACTAAATATAAATGCATTTTCTTCACTTAATTCAAGTCACATGTTCTTCACTTGAGTATTTCCATTTCATGTCACTTTATACATCTACTCAGTCTACTACAGTCATATCTGTCACATGTGCTAGTTACTAGCAGCAGTGTGAGCAGAGTTCACATCCTTTAAAATAAAACCACAGTGTAAATTGAATCTGCTGTAAGTGACAGTCCTCCATTTTTACAGCACAAGTTTCTTGTGTTTATCTTAAACTAAAGTACGGAAGCAAAAGTATCAAAAGCTATAGCTAGCTAGCTAAACTACCCAATATAAATTAATATAAAGTACTTCAGCTCTAAATCAGCTCTACCTGCTACACAGCTACAATATTGACATGGTATTTATATGTCGGTGATACTATAATCCAATACTGTAACATACAGAGGAAAATAATTACTTGAGGATCTTTACACTGTGTTAACTCTTACTTCTGAATACTGCTTCTGTTAGTGCATGTCATACTTGCCATCCACGGCCTCTGACAGTGTGGCGTTGATACCGAGGACGGACAGAGAACTCAACATCCTCTCCCGCCGGTCTGAGCGGCGCTTCAGGTTGATCAGAAAGATCTAGAGGTGGGGCAGATTAAAGTGACTGTTCACTCAGACAGCACTCTGCTACTGGAAAACATTTTTACTGTGCCACTGAAAATGTGTCTGCACCTCGTCAAATCCCATCTTTCCTGGTTCTTTAGGAACAGGGTGCACGTACTGTGAAGGCTTCATGGTGTAGTCGACTGGAAAGAAAGTTCACACAGACATTTCATGTAAATATATAGTCAATTTACATTTTTCTAGAACAGATGTTTGGCTTCAGGGGAATTTCTTAGATCAGTTCAAAATCTAACTCCTGTGAAAGACGGAGAGGAGGTGAAATGAGAGGCAGTGGGCTTTTACAGAGGAGTGAGACATGTGTCAGGACTGTGAGAGTCAAAAAGGCCAAATATGCTCACACACACTACACACACACACACACACACACACACGCACACACACACACACACACACACACACACACACACACACACACATATGCCAAGGAAACGATGAACAAAGGCTGAAGATAGAGAAACTTAAAACTCTTCCTGTTGTTCAGGATTCTCTATTACAGAGTCAGTCTTCATAAAACAGTTGGCGCTTACTGAGCGCCTCTGTCAGTGTGTGGGTGAAACTCTCCTCTTCCTCCTCCAGTGTCTGGTCTTGCTCGAGGGGCAGAGGTAAATATCCATAATGGTCCCTGTTGCACACGTACATCTGGACCCCTGCAGAGCAGAAGAGCAAATCAGGTCTCAGTGCAAAGATCTTCTCATCATGTGAAAAGCAGATACATTTCACCACTAATGGTTAAGATACATTAAGATATGACGTGAAATGATGTTGTCACAGAAAGCAGAGTCTGGTCCACATGGTGTGAAGTGAAATGCTTATACTATTATTAAGATCAGTGGTAATAAAGTAAATATTTAAATGCATATTAATCATATTATGTCTATAGCTGTGTCTTTATAAGTAAACTCATACTGTGACTACATTTCATATGGCACTTTATTACTTTCATACAGACTTGTAATGATAAAGGTGTTCTTTAATGAGGATGTTAATTATGTTAATGAAGTGTCTCATCTTTGTTACACATTAAATTACTTTAAGCACCTTCCCAAATGTAATGCAGTTTCATTCTTAAGATTAAAGACTGATTACCATTAGTGTGAGCACAGTATATACTGGTGTATATAAAGATATTAAAAACAACGATTCACAAAGTCTTTTAATGAAAGTCTTGATCATGTTTTAAACTGTAATCCTATTTGTTTGCCTTATGTATTGAAACATACTGTAATGTACTGTAGACCGTATACACTGTTTTATTTCATCACATTTCAACAAACTGGGAAAAATGATGCCGATCACAATCTGGTTTATGTCAGAAAACCTCCAAAGACGAACTCTGACATCAGATGGAGAGACGTTCAACACAGAGTGTGTTTTCTCTCTAAACTCTTTGTCAAATTGATTTAACTCAGAAGTGGATTTCATTTCAAGTGATTCACATCCAGCTCAGTAAAGTTTGTATATTTCCTGCTCTTCATAACTCCTTCTACCGGACAGGAACAATGTATGGCAGTAACAAACCCACCGGTCGCCACTGATGACTGCCAACACTTCATACAGGAAAAGAATCTTAAATCAAAACACATTTCGACAAAGGTCTGACCTGCTTGCCTTGCAGAGAAAGCAAAGGCCATGATGTCGTCTAGATGGTAGGGGTAGTGGGGGTGAGGAGGGTGGAAGGCCAACGCTTGGCTGCCTCTGCGCCTCAGGTCCAGCAGGTAGGTGGAGTGCACCATGGGGACTGCAAAGCAGCCCTGCCGCTTCCACTTACGGATGGGAATATACTCTGGGGTTCGTCTGTAGTAGCCCTGCGTGGGTATGATGAGATTTCAAACAGTCATTATCCCAGTTTGTGGAATTGCCATGTTTTGCATGTCTGTTAACAAACTGTACCTGAGGAGTAATGCCACACCAGAAGTTGGAATAAAGACTTTTTGATTCCAACATGGGTGCCACAATAGTCAGATTCTCCGCTATCATGTCAGACAGCACCTGGCGGTTTGTCAGCAAGTTGTCACTGTCCACAAACTGAGGGTCAGAGAAATAACATTAATGCTGTGGATGACAGAACTGATGATACACCCACATAGATGCATCATTCTTTATGTCTTCGGGTCTTTTACTGTCTCACCAATATGTAGTCAGTCCAAAGTCGTCTGGCGGCTCTGAGCGCCGCCTGCTTTAACTTCATCACATGGCTGAGCCGAGAGTCGGGCCAGTGTTTTGGACCCTGCTCGTCTGCATAAGAGCTGAGAGAAAGAGACAGGAATAAAAACCAGAGGAGATCAGGTTTACTTCCACTCCGTTAAATCACCATCAAACAGAATCACCATGGTGGATAATAAATGAAGTTGCTGCCTCAGACATTGTATTTTGGGGCAGTGGTTCACCTTGGTCGATCCACGGGTCTCCACTCCACAGAGTGGTACAGGTGCTGGACTCCTCTCAGCCACTCCTGCAGCATGGCGGTGCTGTTGTCCACATTGTGGTCAGACGCTGCCCTGAGATCACAAAGAGTAATTCATTCATTCTTTTTTTCTTTCTTTCTTTCTTTCTTTCTTTCTTTCTTTCTTTCTTTCCTCACTTGTCTGAGAATTACTTTGCTTACTGATCAGCATTAGCTTATTGGTGCTAATGTCACTTTTGCTAAATCCTACTAATTAAGACTTTTGCTTATTGTTTTGTGTGAGGTCTTCCAAACAAATCAGCATCTTTTCATAAGAAACTCTTCCATAAACATAATGCCAGCAAATATCTCTACTTTTTCCAGAAATACATACACATTTTTATTAATCAACTAGTCAATGCAAAGAATAAATGTAACTTTACCAGATGGCAATTCGGTCCTTCGGATAATCCAGTCTGTCAATGCATCCCAAGAAGTAAGGGAGGCTGTGCTGTGTGTTACGTGCGAGGATGGTGATCAGCACTGTGGGTTTCAGCAGGGAGGACTCTGGCTGGAGGAGATGATCAGCTGGCAGCTCCTCTGTGCTGGTGTGCAGGAAGAGCTTTCCTGACAAAATCACAATGAATAATCTGAATCCCACAAATTCAAAAGTCATATTTCCAGCAGGGCACCTTTATGTCTCTGCAGCCTCAGACTGTTGCAACTGAGGGAGGGAGATAGACTCACACACACATGATAAAACACACACACACACACACACACACACACACACACACACACACACACACACACACACACACACACACAGCAAGAGAGAAAGAGTGAAGAAAACCGAGGTTAGTTCCAGTGCCCTAGCCCACTAACATCACCTCAAGGTCTCTTTTGTAGCTGTTCTGGAGCTTTCACTCATCTCACATGATCTTCGCCAAGTTTGAAAAAAAAAATGTTGAGAAAAAGCGATGAATTTAAAAGCATACATTTTACTTATTTATAAGTAATTAATCACTATCATCAATTAATATTTTATTCTTCTTACCTGAACAACATAGTAGAATAAACGAGCAGGACTGAGATGAATTGTTTTTGGCAACGTGCTTCTCGCACCAGACCGGCAGCAGCGCGGAACACAAGATTAGATTTTTTCTTTCCAGCCGGAAGGCTGTCACTGTAGCACGCCGGCGAAACCTGAGAACACGGACCACACATGCCGTGACAGCAGCAGCGGTGTGTCAGACATTAGATTGTGGTTAATGGGCCAGTGTTTTGCTTGTAGATACGTTCAGGAGTTAAAATGTCTGAGGCGTCAGAGAAAGCTTCACCTCAGAACTGGATCCTGCTGCATCCAGCGGTGAGTGTCAGTGGAGCTCTGTGCTGCGTTCAGGGCACCCGTGAGAAATCACGCACTAACCAGCGGTTTTTCTTTTGTGTCAGTATCAGCAGATGAAGGATCTGGAGGTTGGGGACAGCGCCCAGGTGCATGCAGCTTTTCTCGTGTACATGGATCTTGCTGAGGGTGAGTTTGAGAAGATTTTGAAGTCATTACAGGAGTCAGTCTTTTTTGTTTTTGTCTCCTTTTATATGATTGTGTGCGTCAGAGACAGAGGGTCATTTTATTCAGGATTTTTCTCTATTATTTATTCGTTTAGCCATTCTACTGATCCATTTTATGTATTTATTTATGCAGAATTTACCAACAAACTTGATTGTGGGGAAATGCAAAATCATTTAAGATTTATTTGAATTTAATTCATTTTGCTTTTGTCTAAAGACAATGGTAAATGGCATTTAAATCCTGTGATGTGTAGTTTATGTGTAAGTGTAGACTGTAAACTCTTCCTTTGTTTATTAAAACTCCCTCACAAAGTACTGAGGTCACGGACTTGGCGTCTTAAATGGTTGCTACAACTCTGTTTAATATTGTCCATGGTAATGTCAAGTCCACAGGCGACAGAGTTTCCTGTTGAGACTTAAAAGTGACGTATGACATTTACTGCCCTTAATGTACATAACAAGAGCAATACAAGTGAGGCTGGAGATAAAAGATAGAAGTTACTTTTCCTTAGTCTGTGGCACCTTCGCTGCCAAGTAAGGCTACCACTCTCACACGCCCACGCCGTGCTTCTCGTTCTCCACAGTGCGTCAGTGGAAAGAGGTGACCTGTGTCAAGATTCCTGAACTGCAGGCGGTTTTGCTGGAAGGGAGAGAGAAGGAAGGAGCACCCATCCAGACTGTCCTTCCTCTGCCTGTTCACCGATCTCTGTGCCACAAAAGGTGATGAGACCGTTCATCGACTTCTACCACCAGATTTCATCTTCCCATTTTCTCACAACTTTTAGTCATAACCCTCCTCTCTGCTGTGCAGCATACGACACGTGCTGGACAGAGGCTTTCCCATGCTGCTGTGTGCGGTGGCGTCTGACTCCACCCTGGTCTACCAGAGAATGACTGATGGGCTGGTGACGCCCGACCCTCCTGTAGGCCCCTTCCAGGATGTGGGGCGCCGACATCACCGGAAGAGACGGCAGAAGAACTGAGCAGCTGGAGGGAGAAGCTGATGAACCACAGAAGGACGGGCTGACGTTATGGAAGCAGGTACAATTGGACCCTTCCACGGTGGCGCTCCAGGTGCTGCGTGTGGCTGGTAGGCCCAGCCTGTGATTCCCTCTCAATAAGAAGTCAGCGGCCTCATCCAACCAGTGGAGTCCAGTGATTTTCAAAATAATGTCTTCTTGTGACCCACTGACTGAGACTTATCTTGTGACTCCTTGGCCGTAGTTTTTGGGAGGTTCTTGTTGCGATGTCAGCAAAGTTGAAAGGGGCTCTTTGAGTGCAGTCAGGGTTGTGCTCACACTGCCGTGTACTTTGTGTGGTCACGTGCAGTCTGCGTCGTGCCTCCCTCGTGACCTTCAAATGGCACCTAATGAGCTGGATCACAGGACATCCACAAAACTTTTCGGGGACATTACAACAGAGTCCAGCTGATACTGGACTGACACTGATACAGATTTTGATATTTTAAAGTTATATTTGATTATCAAGAGACATATAATATAAACATTTTTGATAAAGATTTCTTGATTGTGGTTAATAAGTGACTGAGAATAACTACCAGACTCTGTTAGTTTGTCCCCAAAAAATTTGAAGTTTGCTCTTAATCTTATTTTATTATTTCCTTTAAAAACAGAAGTGTCTTATTTTGAAAGGATAATTTTCAGACACACTACTCAGTGTAACTGAGTGTAACTTCAGTTGAGCTTCAGTTGAAAGTGGCAACAAGGTTATGTTTAATGAACTCATATTTATACAGATGTTTGGTCTATTTTTGATTATTAAAAGCTTTGTAGTCTGTCTGTTTACGAGCCACACATCTCACTTCAGTCACAGTCTACAGAAATAAACTAATGGGTGCCCCCTGGTGGTCACACTATGTAATAACAGTCCTTTCTTAAAGTCACCTGACATATCTTCAGCATTTCTTTCCTGCAATTTCTTATTGCTTAACAGCTGACAAACACGCCAGTTATGAAATCACTTACAAGCTAAACTTGACTCTAGTCAAGTGGCTCTAAACCACTGTCCACTTTCAGTGCAAGTTTGAGCATTTACTACCGTTCATCAGGCATGGACAGTAACAAAGTACATTTACTTGAGTGTCTGTACTTGAGTTTTTTTTTGTTGTTGTTGTTTTTGGAAACTTATGACTTTTACTGTGCTACATTTAAAAGACCAATATTGTACTTTTGACTGCACAGCGTTTCTATGAAGTCGATACTTTGAAGCTTTGAGCTTTTATTCAGCAGTGAACTTCCTTTTATTTTCAGAAATGCGATAGACCATACACCGTGTTGCTGTTTTTGCAACGACCAAACTTCATCACTACCTACAAAAAATGTGCCGTCCAACTTTAGAAAGCATGTTGAAATGTGTAGCGTTTTTAATTCTGGATAAAATTTTAAACAGACAGCTGGTAGTAGTTGTTGCCGTGTTTATGCTGCGGTCGGTCAGATGACTTATGGCCACTTCTATCGCCTTTAGCAGATTCTACAAGCTTTTTATTCTACACGTTCTACAGTCAGTCAATAGGTTGTTTCACAGTCATAAGATTTTATAACTTCACTGTGGAACAATACAACAATGTGTTGCATAAAAAAATTTACTTTTGAATACTTCAAAGCAAGTACTCCAATACTTTAACTCAAATAAGAATTTGACTTCACCACCGTCACTTGTGTTAGAATAATATTTGATCAGGAGTTTCTATACTTTGACTCAAGTAATCTGCCATTCATCAACATGTGTGGTATTCACTTAGAATAATACCACACCTGTCTGAGCTACACTGGGCTTATTGTTCCCAAAGTCATTCATGTGGCAGGTTGTTTGTATTGGCTGCACTTGTGCTGCCAGTTCTTTTTTTTTTTTTAAAACAACACAACAGTGTCCGCTGTGTGGAGAAGTTACTGAAAACAATTTTTATTTTTCTAGAAAAACAAAAATTTCGACATAGAAACTGAACACAACGACATAACACTGGTGAGCGAAATACATAATCAGACTAATATGTGATGTAGCAGTGTCCACCCTGCGGGGTTAACATGGAGCAGATACCGAAGCAGGGCACACCAGTAACCCTGCTGTGTGAGTGCATGTGTGTCTTTTTAATGGTGCAGCAGTGTCTTAATGAGTGGAAGGACTTGACTGCATGGGACAAAGATTACAACACTTCAACCCTGAGCCTTATTCAACATAAATACTCTACGTCATAACAGAAACAGACATGGACGGACGAACACACTGCACTGGCCAACGTGCTGTAGAAAAGAGGTTCATACTGTGTCTTGGAATTAAGGAAGTTTCCAACCTGTTGACTTTTCAGGGAGGCATTCAAGGATGAAATATTCAAAATGATGCAGACGCAGACATTATTTTCACTTTGACTCAGTGTCCACAACAGCGCTGGTCATTTCCGCAGTCGGAAACGGTCTGTGTTTCAAATGTCTACAGGAGATCTCAGTGACATCCATTTATATTGACCTTTGAGGAGTTATCCAAGCATGGAAAGAAAAGCAAGTGTTCCTTAAGATCCCAACATTTCAATGGCTTCATCAAGAAAAGTAAACCTCAACGTTCTCCCTCTCTTTGGAGAGCTTTGAAAACTTAAAACATACTGAACCACCTTTGATTTTGGTTTCAGTCTTTCTCGGGGGTTAATCAGACGAGCAGGTTGTGAGCAGGAGGGCAAAAAAGGTGCTTGATTCAAGTCGGTAATCCATTCTTCTCAGGTGTGTACAAGGGACAGTGAGAACAAGACGGAGTCCCCCTGGACATGGCATCACATGGTACGGTCCATCCGTAACACTGGAATGACAGTTCCTCTCATTTTGGGACCGATGGATACACGACAACAGTGCTATGTCATGTCCTCCTCCTCCTCTGAGCAGTAGTCCCGGCCCTGGATACAAAACACAGACACGCTAATGTTTGCTGTGTATTTCTTATCCCCAAGGATGAAGCTAATGAAATGAGCATCACAATATTAATGTAACTCCAATATTCATATTAAAAAGAAGTGGGGTAAATGCATTCAATATCACATGTAAATGATCCAATCAATAATTAATGAAATTAACTGGGTTCCACTGTTATGCACGCATCTACGAACAATCATAGAGAGACCGATTTATTATTAAGAGGCCAATTACCATTAGGAGACTCAAAGAAGACAGAAAAAATAAAATGCACTCTTCAGCTACGCACGCACACACACACACACACACACACACACACTGCAGATCTCTCATTCTAGGAGCTATTGACTGCAGCTCTGGCATTATTTTATATTAAACAAATCCCATTGCCACGCATTAGCCTGTTCCTGAGTACCTTCTACCTCACATTGTCTGTGGCTCTGATCTCCACCCAAATGTTTCCCCTCTGACGACATTAATCTTTAAAAACAGGTCAACATATTCATAAGGCTAAAAAAAGGCTAAGTAATGTTCCATAAACAGCTGGTCACTGTAGTTTTTAGCAATCATTACTCAAACAGGAGGAAATGGGGCATTTGTTGGGGACTATTTTTAGCTGAGGATTAATACACATTTGGTGTGCTAGTGAGTACTTCCGGCAGTAGGATGGTGTATGTGGGATCGACTCAAAATAAACTACACTGCCTGGTCACTATGTGATGAAGGAATATGTCAGCCAGTGCAACAGTGTGGCTCACGCAGTGCACAGTATTCACACGCCTTCACTTTTTTTGCATGTTATGTTGCAGCCTCATACTAAAATTGTTTAATTCATTTTTTCTCTCATCAAAGACAAATTTTAGAAAAGGCTAAACAGCTCATTTATTACTAGAGTAGCTGCCTCGCGGTTGTATGCCTCCCCCGACCGGCCACATGGCGGGAAACGTTCACAATCTCCCCTTCCTGAGTTACAGCGTTGAATAATTAAGCGTTTTTGCAGAACATTATGATGTCACAGTGAGGTTGACCTTTGACCTTTTTGGACATAAAATGTCCTCACCTTATCATTTTATCCAAGTAGATATTTGTGTTAAATTGTGTCATAATCAGCTTATGCATTCTTGAGTTATGGCCAAAAACAGTGAGCTTGACCTCTGACCTTTGACCACTTAAATCAAATCAGTTTATCGACGAGTCCAAGTGATCATTGGAACCAAGTTTGAAGAAATACCCTCAAAGTGTTACTGTGATATCATGTTCACAAGAATGGGACGAACCACAGTTTGAAAACATAACGCCTCCGGCTCTGACTGTCGTTGGCCTGGAGGCATAACAAAGGAAAAACTGAAATATCACATTGACATAAGTAAATTTTCAACAAAAAAAAAATCTGTTTTCCTTCTGTCATTACGGGGAATTGAGTGTCGATTAATGAGGAAAACATAACAAAATGTGAAAACTATACATAATTTCCAAATGCATGTTAATGAGAGAGGAATAAGCAGAATAAGCTAAATCAGACTTTAGAAACACATAATACCTGATTTAACAGGTTTTCAACAATACCACTTGAAAAGACGACACTCTTGGAAAACACAGGCCGTGAAAGATTGAGGCTCTTTTGTGGTATCATTATGTCATCTGCTGTGTCCTCACTTGCTGCAGCTTTGCTGCGGTGATAGGATTAACCTCCATTATGTCATTTAGCATTTAGGGGCTTTTTGGAGAAACACAAAATCAAAATGTGATGCTGCGGTGGCGGCTCGTCCCTCCTCACCTTCTCAATTTTCTCATCCAACATCCTGAAGAATTCTTGCTGACTCTCTGAGGAGTGGATGCTTCTGCAAGGAAACATGATACAGCAGCTTAGAGCTTCGCTATGTAGCTATGGACATGATGAAGAGTTAGCTGGTGGACGAACATACAAACACACTACTAATACACAACATGTAAATATATGTTAATGATATCTAAAGAGCAAAAACAGCATCATCAGTCGTTGACACTTACAGTATCTTTTCATTTCCGTTTGATCCTGTTTCATCCATGTGTTCACCTTTACCAAGGAGAGCACTTTTCTCCTGCAGGACGCCACACAAATAAATAAAAGTGCACATGATCAAATAGTTGTGGAAAAAACAGACAGTTAACTAAGAAGCTCTACAGGTGACTTATTTCAAACATAGCTGTTTGCCTGAACTGATAAAACTTAACAAAATTTTGTATTAGAAAATATTTATATCTAAAAGCACTTAACTTTATGTAACACGTGTCTGGTATTAATAGAAACCCCATTATCTTCTGGCATTATTGTGTTACCCTTGTTCTGGTTTTTCCTCATTAATATGCAAATGTATTCTGCAGGGTATTCTAACATCTGATCATGACTTAGTTTGATTACAAATTGGCTATTTTCACAAACAGGCAGATAAACAGAAGCCATTGTTAAAGACAGTAAACGTCCCATTAGAGACAAAAAAAAAAAAGAAAAAATACAATAGAATCACACACTGTGCTGTCCTGGCCGTCCACTCCTCCCTCTTCTCCACTGATGTACTTGACTTTCTCCACTCCTTTCATCTTGTACTCATCTGTGACAGAGTGGGAGACAGAGAAGCAGAGAGGAGCACATCTCCTCTTATTAATACGCGACAGCAGAGGCCGGCGGGCAGGCACGCAGAGGACGACCCACTCACAGCCACTCTGATCAGCACAATCCTCCGGGTTAATAGTTCTCACAGTTCAGTACTTGGCAAAGTAATTATGTGCTTGGATTCTCACGCTCCAGACTAAATCCCCTCTTAACAATGGTTGGCAAGCGGCAAACACATGAGCTGTCAGTCTGATTCTCCTCTTTGCTCTCCATCTTTTCTCTCACACATGCACATCCCCCTCCTCCATCTCACTCCCACGCAATCAGAGAGGAAATGGAAATACAGATATGATGCATAGTAATGATGGCCTGATGGACACATACAGTTGTAACACATCACATTAATATTGTGTGAGATATGATTATTGTAGCCCAGCTGTGTTTTTTTGAAACACAACCTTATTATGAAAATAACAAACATGTCAGATTAGTCCACACTTGTTAGGCCTGAGTAATGTGCAACAATTGTCTGCTGATAGTATCCCAGTGTCTGAGTGGAACAGTTTCAAGCACACCTGCCTTTAATAAAGCACTAATTAAGGGTCAATCCGGCCCAGAGAACTGGACCATGAACAGAGTTCATCCAATCATCATTACTGGTGACCTTTTCTTTTTTTCTTTTTTTTAAAATGGATAAATTAAGATTGCATCAACACTGTTTCATTCACAGCTTTTGAAAATTGTTTTCAGATTATTTAATTGCTTGAAAATTGAATTTTTCTTACTGTGACTCAGTAAGAGAGATATAAAGTTATGTTTTGAACAAACTTTATTTATTGTTTTTATATATAATTGCATTTATAGACACAAGCTGAAACAGCTTTTCTTGATTAAGCCACTGACTGACAGGAACTTAATCAGCAACAATTCTGAGTCACACTTCAGGCAAAAATATTTACTGAAGACTTGTTGCTTTTCTCTCTTTTCCCAAGATCTTTGGGTTTTTCTGACAAAACAAGAAAGAGTTTGGGAAACTATGATGGACATTTTATATAAAATCAAACCAATTGATTGTGAAGTGTAACTGTTATTTGCAGCCCAAGACCAAATTCATCTTAAACATGCTGGTAGCACCTGAACTGTTTGATGTTTCATGTGCACCTGCATGTACTCCATCCTTATCTGACAAAGGTCCATTCCAGCATTATTGAATACTGCTAACAATTTCTCAACATTCTTGAAAAGGACTAAATATAAAGCTCAACAGTGGATTATTATTATTTGATTTTACATACCCATATTGTAAGTCTCATTGATATAAATGTGTAAAAATGCAGGTAGTGCCGACTGTGTTAGAACTGTGCTGTAACCTCCCTGTGAGCAGTGAATCACTTTGATGTGTTCAGTGAACAGACTGACCAGACAGGAGGTCCCCGTTGCTGTAGGCTTTACTCTGGCTCTCCTCACCGTTGGGCACGGCAGACACCTGCTTGGCAGAGGTGCAGCCCATCTCCTCCTCCTCAGCTGCTCTCCTCCTCACTCCTGAGCACCGCAGGCACACCTGGGGACAGGTATGAGGGAGCGACACTGCGTGGTTAGATGTGTGTAGGTGAGGAGCAAAGACCACCAAGCAGAGAAGGCTCGGATCTCAGACAGGCCTCCTGATAAAGGTTCAGTCTCTGGGGAAATCATCTGAGGGGCATCTGTGGGTCAGTGAGGGCTCGCATCATCACAGAAGTAAACCAGTCTTCTCTCGCAGAGGAAGAAATCCTCTGGACTCCAGCTTGTGAACCACTAATTTTTCATAATCAATTAGTCATGAAGCGCCCCACCCTGGAATTAATACATGCGGGCATCTCAATCGATTCCCGCACAGACAATAAAATAGACGGTGTCGCCGGGTTGTGAGTCACGCACACGCTGGTCTGGGAAAACACCAATCAGAACGTGCGCACGGCGGTGCCAGCTGCACCGCAACAATAAGGCCTTTCAAGCTGTTCACGATGCCACTGTGCCAAGCCGCCGGGGCATTTGATTAGTGAATGAGGGGTTTTCTGTGGAGCTCAGAGGATTAAACTATGGCTTCCATCTCCGCCGGTCTATCGGCCTGTAAGACCCGCAGCAATATGGCTCACATAACAGTGTGTTAGACCACATTACTTGATTGCAGACGAAGTGTTCTGCACTAGGCTCTGGGAAAATCAGAGTGATTGATCCCCATATGGTCAGGTTGATCCTAAACGCACTGGCCGCACAGCTGAGTCCAGCTGCACAGTCAGCTGCTCCTCACACACCACTACCCACCGTACTATTATTTTTCAATTGTACGTTTATATAGAGAAAGGCTGCAGCTGCATCCTGTAAACGGTGCATCACTGGGCTATATCATTCAACTGGAGGCAAGCAAATAATAAACGAGAGATGCAAGAGGAAAAATATATCCGCCTAAAAGCTGCAAAATGCCAGCCACAGCATCGGAGAAAGGAGATAACGATCAGGGTTCCGTATACAAATATTAACAAAAGATGCGAAAAGAGCAGCCATTCCACGGCCAGCAGGAAACGCCGAGGCGACTATCACACAGACGGAGCCAAATAAACAAACAATAGATTGCGAAATAAACGCAACAGCAGTGGGGCAAATTTACCTTTCTGCTTTATCCATGGCTCCGAGCTCCTTCCTCTGGTTTTAGTTCAGAGAGGCTTTACTCCAGACGGAGGACACACATAGACCGCATCTGCACCTCTCGGCTCAATACAGGCATCATCAGCAGTGGAGGTGCAGTCAGTCCGTCTGCCAGCTGTCTGGTCGGACTATTGGAGCTCATGGCCTGATACTGTGTTAAAGTGATAAAGATGACAAAATACTGAAGCGAGTCAAACAACTGCTAATATGATTTTTTTTTTTAGAAATTACTCTTGCTCACAGAACACTAAACAACCCGCACTATTTTTCCATACGATTTTAGAAGCGTATCCCACCTCTTTATGCAACGGAAAATTGACTACGAAGGTGTATTTTTTTATCAGTTGCCACTCGGACCTATTTCACCGACGCACCGTGAACTTCCGTCCAGCTCATTCCTTCTGCATCATCAAAGTTGACAGCAAAAACACACTAAGTTGTTGAAGTTCAGTTCCTCCGACGTAAGTGACAGTTGACGCCGCCGAACACTGACCTCCATCAGTATGATTTTACTAACAATGATCGCTCGTGTGGCGGACGGACTGCCGCTCTCTGCGTCCATACAGGAGGAAGAACAGGTATGAATGAGACTTAGCTTCCCCACACAGACTCTGTGTTTGAAGAGAACCACACGCGAAACTCCATTCAAAACTTTTGATATTTAACGGTGGCTAGCTTATCCACTAAAAATGTTGAGTAGGCCCCCCTGAAAACATATTTACTGAATGTTTTTTGATTCTTGGCAGTATATCATAATATTACATATATTTAATAAAACTATAATTTAACTTTAAATCTGAACGTTTACGTTTAACGTTAACGATAAAGTTTAGCTAAATGAAAAAAAAAAGTTTATTGTTTGGTTTGCTGTTAGCAGAAAAGTTGATTAGTTAATGAATTTAACGTTAGTTTCGTTTGCAAATGCGCAAGAATTTTACATTAAGTCAAACGTATTCATTTGGGTCCAAAAAAAAAAAAAAGGTTATGGACCATTTGTGTTATTTAAGTATTAGTGTTGATATAATATTCTACAGCTGCCATACAGTTCAACATATGTCAGTTCCGACTATAACCTATTCTTGTTTACCTCTGCCAGTCACGAAGAGACCTCCAGCAGTACCAGAGCCAAGCCAAACAACTGTGCCGTAAACTGAATGCTCAGAGTCCGGACCGCTGCACCCTGGAGGCCGGGGACGTGAACTTTCAGTAAGTTAAAAACATGTACTGTTGTTGGATGTTATCAGAACCCAAGAGTTCCTTCTGTAATATTGCACAATTGAGTTTGGTTCATGTATCACCAGGCATCAAAGTTATTACAAATAACCACTAATTCGGGCTTATCTTTTTTCTCTCTTTTGTTTAAGTTATTTAATAGCACAGGGTATTTGCTATCTGTCCCTCTGTGAGGCTTCATTTCCCAAAAAGATGGCGTTTGCTTACCTTGAAAACCTCCACAATGAGTTCTATGATCAGTATGGAAGAAAAGTACCCAGAGTAACAAGGCCGTACTCTTTCATCGAGTTTGGTAAGACTGGCGTTTGTGTGATCTCTTTGTGGAGCATTGTCCTTGCAGAAAGAACAAAAGCCTTGACTATTTCTTGCACACATTGTTCCAGACACATACATCCAGAAAACAAAGAAGACATACGTTGACAGCAGAGGCAGGAGGAACCTGGGCAATATTAACACTGAGCTGCAGGATGTCCAGAGAATTATGGTGGCAAATATTGAGGAAGTTCTGCAAAGAGGAGAAGCTCTTTCTGGTAAGTACAGGATAGTTTTGGAGTGTTTAGGCATTGTGCTGTTGCACCATTTTTCAAAATTAAATGTACATTTATTGATTCAGAGACGCCCCGATTCATCCGTTTGCATTCTTTCTCTCAGCTCTAGACACAAAAGCCAGCAATCTGTCTACCTTGTCGAAGAAGTACCGCAGCGATGCAAAATACCTCAACACTCGCTCCACGTATGCCAAGGTGGCCGCTGTGACAGTGTTCTTCCTCACACTCATCATCTATGTGCGCTTCTGGTGGCTCTGATGGACTCGCGAACGAAGACATTGATATTAAGGAGAGGGGGTCCCTCTTTAAAAACAAATCATTTAAACAGATCCCGCTACATTTCCATTATATATCAGGGTGCCTTAAAGGGGTCATATAGTGTGTCCATGTCGGGGGTACATGTTCTTTCTATGCTTTTTTTTCAGCTTTGACTGATGCTACACATACAGTATAAACTGAGCCACTGGTCTGTGATGGGACTTCTATGTATGGAAGCAAATGCTTTATGGTGAGTTCATGTAACTCTCTTTACTGGAATATTAAGAGAGGGTGTTGCCAAACTGATGTTTACACATTAGTATAGAGGTTAACGGTGGAAAGTCTTAATATTGTGATTAAAAAAAAATGTTTATTGTTCAAAGTTTACACTGTAACAAAGTCTTACTGAAAAGATTAAATATTTATCAAATTGCCAGCTTCTATTTTACATTTGTATGTATGACACAAGTTATTTTAATATCATGAACAGCATTGTAAACCAGCATTTCCCTGGTCACACACACTAACCCTGGCAGCTCATGTTCACACAAACAACAGTCACACCTACACATCTCTGGGAGCTGCTCTGTATAACCGGTGTGATGACAGCCAATGTTGGGAGCGGCTCCACTGACAAACACCTGAGGCTCTGCACCCCTGTGCCACTGGTGTCTGCTCAGGTTTAGAGTAAAGAGTCAAAAGGTGATAGCGACAGGCACCAACACAGACTCAGATTAATCGTGTCACTTCCAGACTCAGAGACATGTTGGATGATTGGAGGGATGATCAATTGTCAATTTATCAGATATCAGTTGCAGATTTCGATGACATCAATAGAGGAGTTCAGTGAATGATGTATGGTCTTGTAGTCCATTCGTTTTGTCCTTGCTGAAATGAGTAATGGCTCCTGAGGAGACGGGAGCACTTATTCCCTCTCCATAATTTCCAAGCTGACAGGAGACTCAGACTGGGTTGTAGAGTTATTCATGCCACAGTTAAAAGAGCAGAGTTCTCGTCTCTTTCCTGTCTTCCAGGGTGACAAATGGACGTTTGCCACCAGACTTACGCCACCAGATCAAAGTCGTCTCTCTGCAAAAGAAACACAATGGTCATTTACGCAACATTAGATTTATGCTTTAGCCCCAATGGCAATTTTATGTGTGTGTTTTACAATTCAGATTCAAAGTCAAGGCGGTTATTTGCTTGAAACGACTGCAGGATAATATATGTAAACAGATGCTGAAACGTCACCCACCTCATCATTATAATTCATGACATGCTGCTTGATCTTGGAGGAGTCCACCCAAGTTACAAAATCTTCCATATTTCTGGAAAGACGAGTAATGGTGTCAATATTTGATGACTGGAGAGGCTTTTACACAGACACCTTGACTGTACATTTTTTCAGATTTTACAGAATGTACAGTTTGCCTAAAGGGGTGTTTGCTACATCGAGTCAAAAGCAAATGTGGACACCAACCTTGTGACTAGAAATGCTGGGTCTGTGACGATGTCTGGGCCAACACGCACATCTGAGACAGAGTCAAGGTCAACTACTGCAAAACAAATTCTACCCTTGGACGTAGACAAATGTAGTTTCTCTCAAAAAGGTACTATGACACATAAACACAGAAACAAAGAGTACATTACAATATCAGACACTCTTTGGTATAAACAGTTGCAGAAATGAAGGATACGTCCTTGTTCAATGAAGGTGATGGCTGTCTTCAGGTTCTGGGCCATACGGAGGTTCAGCATAATGCTGGGCAGCCTCCTCCTACAGGAGACACACAGATCAGGGTGACAAGAAAACAGACGGGTGATGGATGCTGGCAGCTACCGACTGAATCAGAGTGTAACGTATTGATTATTTACCTGCAGAATGAAGAAGCTGTGACTTTCTCTGTGAGGGAGAGGTTCTGTTTGGTGGGGGTGAGGCCGATGCTGTACCTTTTTATATGAAGAAACCCAAAAATGATCAGTGCGATATCAGTGTGAGTGAGTCGAGATTTCATACAGGAACCCGGCCCACCATGCAAAGAGTGTACCTCCTATCAATAACATGCCAGAGCAGGTGTTGACGAGAGAGGTACAAGGTACAAACTCCAGTGGATGGAGGAATATTAGACTTAAATGTAATCAGAGTCTGTAAATTAGTCAAACAGGGTCATCACACTCTCTCACTCACAGTTTCTCCAAGAGTCGATGTGTGCTCTGAGCTCTGAAGCCGTCTCTCTCGTCCAGGTCTCTGATTTTCTGGGCCAGATCTCTGATGTTACGGCTCAACTTGTTGTACCTGAGACATTGGAGAGAAAAAAACACCATCAACACTGTATCCATGTTTTAGTGTCTATACGATGTATGAACTGGTCATCTGGAATAATTATCACAGCACGTCTGAACTTACTTACACTTTATATTTTTCTGCAGTCATATAATATTTAGAGGGTTGGTTCACAGGCTTTAGTGGTAGCTTACAATGACCAGTCAGATACTCACTTGGTGTAGTCCTCCCTCTTCTCGATGCGATACTTCCGCAACACTTTGACCTCGTGCAGGTTGTTGTCCACCTCCCAGTTGATAAAGTCCACTTTCTTCAGCAGCTTCTGTTCATGATACTTTAATTTACGAACCATTTTTACACCCTTTGCTTAAATCCAACTTATTTACAAAGCTGGTTCCTTCATACGCGACTGGAGGGGGAAACAGGAAACACGTGTTTTTCTTTCCTCTTCTTCTTCTTCTAATGAATTTCCGGCAGGATGTACACTGTAAAGCGTAATGCTGCCCCCTACAGATAAGGCTTTGCTGTTTATCCTAATACAACACCAAGAATGTTTTTTCTTCTTTGGCGACAATTTAAAGTTGAATATCAAGTCAAAGTGGGAAACAGCGCCATCTACCGCTCTTCCACATTAATCATCTCTACCTCCTGTGATAGACGCTCTTCATCTTTAGTTAAAACTACAGAAACATAATGCATTCACTTAAAAAAAAAATCCGTTTTTTATGAAATAACGACATCATTATCTCGTTTTATTTATTAATCTTTATTAGAGAAGTTAAAAAAAAATCCAGTTTTTCTGAATTAACGAGATAATTGTGTCGTTAATCCAGAAAAACAGGATTTAAAAAAGAAATTTAAGAAAGTTTCTCAGACTTTTTTAGACAATTATGTCGTCAATTCATAAAAAACAGAGCAGGAGTTTTTTTTTAAATCAAAAAATAAATCCTGTTTTGTTGTTGTTTTACGTGAATGCATGACGCCTGCGTAGATGGACTACGGATTGTTTTAACATAATGGTTCTTCATTTTGAGTTTTGATGAAAAAAGAAGAGGCTAAATAAAAGTTTGGCTTGTATATGCATGTGCGCTCTGTGAGTGCTTTCAAGTTTAATGATGCTTATAGCAACATGTTTCCCTCCGATAGGTGTCAGCAAATCTCCGGCGTATGAGGTCTATGTGGATTCATTCATTCAGGATGGTGGGGGGAGTCCGTTCCCAGTGGAGCCTATATTTAAGGTATGCCGCAACAACTTTCCACTTTTCGCTGTGAGAGACTTACTGTGTCTTAATTTTATGTGTTGTAATAAACAGAGAGAAGAGGCAAAAGGAGATTTCTATCCAGCGAAGGAGTGTCCGCAGACTGCCATCCACGTCGTCAACTGAGACCCGGTCCTACAGGTAAGTTACTGTGTGATGGAGAGTTTGAGAGGTGGCTGTTTCAGACACAGAGGGGAGAAGTTAGTCTCTCAATCCCTTTACAAAACACAGGTTAAATACTAAATAAACACATCAGTTATCCTGTCTGCAGAGACATCTGTGAGAGGTAATCTTGTTAGTCTGTACCATCTGTCAAACCCTCTTCAGGGGCAGATTGATTAAATGCTACGTTCAGCAGTAGACAGCAACCAACAGCAATCAGACTCATTAGATATGTGGGCTTATAGAAAAACTGCTGCTGGAATTCATTCATTCATTCATTCTTGCATTCATCCATTCATCCATTCATTCCCTGCCCTACTTTGATTTGCCTTCTGACGGACCCACATCCTGATCGTGTTGTGATGTTAAATATTTGCTCAGGTAAACTCCCAATAAAACAACCACACAAAGGATTCCTGGTGATAGCAGCCACTCAGCTGTGTTTTCACTGCACACATCCACGTCACCAGCTGTGGGCCGCTCAGGGTGCATGGCTTGTTGGGTTGTAATTCAATTTTAACACACTAACCGGATTTCAGTTTCATTTGAGATCTGAAACATCTTTACATTTAAGACCTGTTTACCTCACTACTGCAGAGTTACCTTGTCCTGCATACCGAGTTCTCAGTCCCAAGGGTGGAGGCCCCACCCTCAGCAGGTCCACAGACACTGCTCTCTTTGACCCGAGTCTGTCACCGATCTGTTTCGTATGTTACCTGATGCTTCATCTGCTTTGGGAGGCAAAGCAGCTTTATTTGTATTGCACATTTCATACACCAGAGCGATTCAATGTGCTTGAGGTAAAAAATTACTTAGTGACTAAAAACTAGAGGATAATTAAAATGAATTCAATTTAAAAGCTAAGATAAGAAGATGAGTTTTTAGGCATTACTGGGTAGAATAGACAGTGTAAAGGTTTTTAGCTTTGACAGAGCTTCGGTCAGAGTTGGGGCTTGTATAATATCAACTGGGAGGTTCCACACAAGCATGTCAGAGATGTAATTTGGCCACAGAGGTGATTTGATGAGCAGCAAGATTTTGAAGTCAGTTCTCTGAGTGACCAGTAGCCAGTGTAAGGATTTTAAAACTGGTGTGATGTGGTGATATTTCATTTTTCAGGACCCCAGCAGCAGCTTTCTGAATAAGACAGAGTTGCTAAGACATTTTTTTTTTTTTGAAAGCCCTATGAATAGATGAATGCAGTAATCCAATATACCGGAAATACAGACACGGTTAAGCTTTTATTGCAACATTTTTTAGATGGTATTGAGTAGATGAAGTGACCAGTTTGATGTGACTATTGGCATTTAAATCTAACACCTTTAAGTCCTTGGTTCATTAATTCCAGCTGAAAGTGCTTTTCCTCACCTATCCTGTTTCCTGAGGAGAGCAGGTTGTGTCAGATATTCACTGCGAGGCCGATCACTCTTCCAGTCCGTCAGGTTTGTGGAGGAGGTTCGTGCATCTCTGTCAGAGCCTGTTGGAGCTGATTTGCTGAGAACAATATGGGAGTCTCTCGCCTCTCTGAGTCACTGTCCCTCCTTCTGTAGGAGGAGGAGGGAGGAAGAGTATCCTTTACATTAACTAAGGCAGGTGAGTAGGACGCCACGGGGAAGAAAGCTCTGTGTAGGCTAACATCGGAGTAATCATGTGTGACATGTTTAATGGTGTTGAGATTATAAAGTGCTTGGTAACTTGAAGGGAGCGGTGGTGTTATTTTGGTGGCATCATGTTGGCACAGTGTGAAATAGTCTGTGGTGGTGGCAGAAGTAGAGAGAAGTAAAAGTCAAAAAAAGTAAGATTATAGTATTAACAACAAAATACTTAAAGTTTAAGAGTGAACTATGTTACTCATTATGCAGACCTGCCCTGTTAGTGTTATATTATATTATTGATTCTGTTATTATTATTGATGTATGGAAATGTCAGCAGTATTTTAATATTCTTGTTGGCTGAGGTGGAGCTAATTTTCACTGCTTTATATACTATTGAAAAGTTTATAGCGATGCATCCTCTCTTATAAATTTACCATATGTTCTGTATGTAAAATCTTAATCTGAAAAGTAACTAGAAATACTGCACAGTGTCTCTCACTTTAAATCTCTGTAACGTAATAAACAGCACACTGTGCCTAATTTACTTTGACGACATGGGACGACAATCTGGATCATTTTAGAGTGAGACACACGTCTCATTTACTGATGCTGAGAACATTAGCTCTGAGGTTAAATATTCATTATTCTTACAGCTGTCTCACGTAAATTACAGCAGATGATTTTATGAACAAGTGCACCGCTGGCAACTGAAAATGAAAGTCGATATTGTTCTTGATATGTGTGAAGAGAGAGAGAGGGAGGAGAGTTTGTTGGTGTGTAGAATCTCACACACACACACACACACACACACACACACACACACACACACACACACACACACACACACACACACACACACACACACACACACACACACACACACAGGGGTGGGATTGTGCAGCCATGCCCCTCTGCTGAGCAGAGCTGCTACATAAGGAAGTCCTTGTTTTGAACACACCACACCTCTTGTTCTGTCAACTCTCTGTGGTTTGTTTTACATCCGCTTTTTACAAAGTGCATTGCTCACCATAGTAGAAACTATACAACCCTTTTATGACGTGGCTCAGTGGACTTTGTCTCCAGTAGAAGGGAGAGCAGATTTACTCATTCTCTCCCATTATTTTCACTAAATAACTTCTCTGTGTGCTCGAAATAAACGAATAATGATTTAAAGTAACAGTGGGAATGAAATGCAAACTAAGTTATGGGCAGTCAGAGCCTGTGCAGAGGTGTCTAACAGCGGCAGTGGTGTTGGCAGGGGCTAGTTAATGATCATACGATGCAAACCGTCCACCTGAGCCGTCCCACCCTGCAGTTTCATCTAATCAAAACCAGAGAAGTTCCCTCAGTTCCTCCCACTGCTCGAAGAGCAGACTCTGTCACTCTACAAGTGAAACTGCTGCAGAAACCCAGTATGGTCTGCCTCTTTAAAGCTTCTGCCCTCTGTGCACAATTACTTTTGAGAATGGGATGCATGTTGATGAGGTGACGAAGAAAAGTGGAAGTGGCTGTTCAGAGTTAAAATGCTTCAGTCAGGAAATGTAAGGCAAAACAGTGAAGAGAGTACGACTTCAAGTCGCTGGAGTTATGAGACTGGTAATGATTATCTCATCACCCTCAACTGAACCATTCATGCAGGGTAGGTTATGAATAACAGCTAGACAATGAGCTCTCTTGTTGGTGTTTTGCTGAGGGCTAATAGATCGGATACAAAATGACATCAAACTTGTTTATTACTGTTGTACTCCATCTTTGATATTTTGTTACACAACATAAGTCTGCATGTGTGTGCCAGTGGTAGACAAATTCAGATCCTTTATGTAAGTAAAAGTACCATAACAACTACCTACAAATGCTCCCTAACAAGTTAAAGTTCTGCCCTTCATTATGAGTAAAAGTATATTATTGTTATCATTTAACAATGTATGTTTTTTATGTAAAATCTTAATCTGAAAAGCAACTAGTAACTAGAGCTGTAAATCCAGAGTAGCACTCAGTTAGAGCACATACCTCTGCCAAGACCAAACAAGCCCTCACCTGTCTGTGAGGTCCAGGTCATTATTTGGATCTGCATCAAATTGTACAGTTGTAAAAGTCATAGATCTCAACACTGTTATCATGTCTGATTTTTTTATTTTCAGGGTTCAAACATTATTTCCAGAGAAATTGACAAAAATGTCAAAAAAATGCTCTATCCCACAATTTTAAGGAAATGAATGATAAAAAAAATGATAAAACTTGTAGAGTGCATTCCTCTGCCTGCCAAGGCAAAACATTTTCTTCCACCAGATCCAGATAATTGTCTGATTTTTTTTTTTTTTTTTACCTCAAGATCCATAGTTACTACAACATTCAGAAGTGTTGAAAAATGCTCTCACAATGTTAAGGAAATTATTCATTAAAAAAATTCCTGGATCTACCTCTTTAACCGGATCCGCACCTAAAATAAAATGGGTTCTTCCCTGGCCCATGCCCCATCCCTCCACCAAGTTTAGTGCAAATCACTTCCCTTCTTTCAGTGTAGACAAACTGCTGGTCACTTGCAGTTTCAGCTTCACCAATGATTTACCAGTCCATCCTTCCTGCATCAGCAGGTTGTTTCTGTTTTTGGAGGACAGATTTCTGAAGTATAGAAAATGTGACAGCTGAGTTTGAGTTGTACTATAAAATACATGGTTTTCCCTCTGTCAGCTTTTTCCCCCCCTTCACTTTTATTGTTAGTCTGTATTCCTGCTGCTCCAGGACTGCAGGCCGGTCACAGGAATGCCCCGCACTGCCTCAGGCTGGACCTATTAACTTTCTCTTTAACTACCTTTAACTACTGAACAGCACTCCCGATCACTCCGCAGTCACTCTCTCTTCCTCAGGCTCTTCAGACTGTCTAATGCCTGTTTTGCCTTCACTCTGTCTGTCTCTTTCTCTTTCTGTCTCTCCTAAAGGCTCCATCGTCGTCTGCTGAATTGGACACAGAGTCCTCCACAGTGGTCATGTATTCGTCACACACACACTTGAGGCTGAAGTATTTGTCTCTGGGGGTGCTGGTGTTGCAGACCACCTCGCTGGTGCTCACCATGCGATACTCCCGCACCCTAAAGGAAGATGGTCCCCGCTACCTGGCCTCCTCCGCTGTGGTGTCGGCTGAGGTGCTCAAGATCCTTGTCTGCACCTTCCTCGTCTTCAGGGAGAACAGTGAGTAGAAAGTTGCGAGTAGCGTGTGTGAGAAGTTCACATGTTTGTTTGTTTTTTACTCAGTTTCCGGGTGGCACTACTGGTCCAAGGTCTCGTATAAATGTACCTCCACCTTTCTGTATCTCCTGTTTGTCTCCTCACTCCATGGGTGGTCCCCGGGTTACATTACTGACAACACACTCTCTGTCTCTGCCAGATTTCAGTGTGCAGGCAATGAAGCAGCTGCTGAAGGAGGAGGTTGTCAGCAAGCCCATGGAGACTCTGAAGTTGGCCATTCCTGCAGGGATCTACACACTGCAGAACAATCTGCTCTATGTTGCCTTATCCAACCTGGACGCAGCCACCTACCAGGTTACACATTAATGCACTGGTTCAAGTTCACTGCATGTGTGTGTGTGTATTTGAACTGATATCAGTAGAGTTTCCAGTTGTCTTGCAGTCATGAATTTAAAGCACTTAGTAGGCTGAAATATATATATATTTTAAATCCCTATCTGATGTGTAATTGCCCTCAAATTACATTTAGAGATACTAGTATCAACTACTGACCCCATGTGGACTATAAAGTGTTTGGTTTTGTTCATCACAAAGAAAAGTGGCTGTGGTCAGTTTTAATTATTGTTACAAAGGATTTTAATTCTGATGATAAGTTTTTACATCAGACCAAAAAAAAAAAAGGAAAAATCCTGAGAAATAGTGTTTTTAAATTGTGTGTACTGTGTCTAACTGACTGATATGGTGCCATGCCGATATTCTAATACTGTAGCTCAGAGTTCATGAGCTGTGAAGAACTGACATTTTGGATAATACAGTTAATTGCTTTCTTGCTGAGAGATGAGATAGGCGATACACTCTTAATTTCTTGTGGTCAGGAAGCTGCAGCTAGCAGTTAGCTTAGCTTAGCATAAAGTGTAAGAGCAGGGGGAAACAGCAAGAAACCACTGTAAACTGGTTTCAGCCCTGAAGTGCATTTCTCCACCAATCAACAAGCAATTTTGTAGAAATGATCTTTATAATAACCTCATGAATTTATAATGTAGAGCTTTTTATGCTTTTCATAGATAAGAGTGGCGGCGTTTCTTATGCAACAATGCAGTTAAAAGGATCGTGTGTGTCATGATCTGTGGGGAGGAGCTTTTCTCCTGCCTGTGTGTGTGTGTGTGTGTGTGTGTGTGTGTGTGTGTGTGTGTTTGCAATTTGTAGTTTTCACACTGTGGCTTTTGCATCAATTAAACAAATTTTGGTAGGTGGATGTTTTCCCCTTTGGACAAAGCCAGTCTATCAGTTCCTCCCTGTGTATTGTCTTTATGCTAGCTAGCTATGTCTACCCATACTTAGCACACAGACACGAGAGTGATATCAGTGGTATCATAACTATTCCTTTAGATGTTGGAGCCCAGTTACTTTTTTAGTTCCTAGCATAACACTGATATGTAGCAAAAACATTTATTATTTTTGAAAAGAGAACATGACATGATGTTAGTTTCTACTTTTTGTCACATAGCAATTTGCTTTCTCACAACTTAAACTGCACAAACACCAAGAGTAGTGTGTTCTTGACTTCCCTTTTTATGAAATACAAACTCGTTAGATTAGTTATATTTGAAGGCAGTACGTACCTTTGAACCCTATAGCTCTGTGGATTTTTGCATATATTGATTGAATATCCCATTGGGTTCCACTACAGTACAGGCAAGAAATGTGGAAATGATAAGATAATATTTTGAGATATTTTAGATTTTTTCTTGTTTAAAAATGGGGTGTTCAAATCCAGTACAGTAGTGAATATTCATTTATCTTTGTGTTTGGATAGAAAACGACAGTATCATGTTTCAGTTTCTATATACAGCCTATGGTTTCAGCCTTTTAGAGAAACCCTCCATTAGAAGTCATTTGACTTTCAAACAACTTGCTTGTAATGGATTGTGGCTACAGGAGCGGCCGACTTCAGCCCTCTATGGTCACCATTCTAGGCTTACTTGGGATGTGTGTTTGATATTCTCTTGTCATATTTGACGACCTTACTTTTTGTGTTTGTGCTGTTCTCCACCAAGGTCACATACCAGTTGAAGATCCTCACCACAGCGCTGTTCTCCGTCTCCATGCTGGGGAGGAGGTTGGGCCTCTACCAGTGGCTCTCCCTGCTCCTCCTCATGGCTGGAGTCACTCTAGTGCAGGTACCAGCAGACACTGAAATGGTGTTAACAAATACACATGTGTAGCTGTTGTTTGTTTCTGTATGATGAATATGACTTTATTCAATCCCCAGATGGACTTGCTGTCCCTGCGCATTATATTTGACCCAATGTTTTAACTTCCACAGTGGCCCACAGAGTCTGGTGACTCTGAGCAGACGGTCCTGTCGACAGGCTCCCAGTTTGTGGGGCTGATGGCCGTGCTGATGGCCTGTGTGTCCAGCGGCTTTGCAGGAGTCTACTTTGAAAAAATCCTCAAGGAGACTAAACAGAGTGTGTGGGTCCGTAACATACAGCTGGGTGAGTGGCTATGACCTCTGTGTAAGAGAGATAATATCGAATAAGGGTTTTGTCTAACTGAGCTTTACAGGTGTTTTGGCTATTTTCACAACCCCAACCCTCCCCCTGTCACACCAACAGAAATTCATGGTCATTTGCAAACTTCACTGCTTCCTTGACATATATAAAGATATGAAGGTGTTGAAGGTGAAGACAAACAGAGAGAGTGAATACTGTTTTTATTACAGTAATGTCCCAATCAACCTTAAAAACTAAAAAAATAGTTTTGCAACATGGCTCTTCTTATCACTAGCTGAAAGCCTTTATGATATGTTCCTCTGTATGGCCAACTCCCATGTTGAGATGAGGAAGTTTTTCTCGTTTGCTGTTTTATTAAAAAAAATTCTCTGCAATACTTTGTTTTATCCCCTTCCAAAGAGAAACATCATTAAAAAAAAACCAGTGGAGATTTTAGTATTCATAACACTGAATTTGCATCCATTATTAATTCCTTAATAAACATGTTAGGAGAGGATAAGACAGCTACAGTGACTGTTCATTGCTGAGGGTTTAGCTGCTTAGACAGCTGCCAGTACGTGCTCTCCGCTCAGTGTGCAGGGGAGGTTTTCAGTGAACACTGCTTGTGTACACTGAAGGGAAAAATGAAACCTGCCACAGAATACATTTACACTGAAGCAGCCAACGTTTTTCACATGCTCACTAGATGCTGCCCGCAATCAGTCATCAACACACCACCTCATCACTCCACACTGAGGCAGAAACTGAATTAATGTGTATGCATTGAGAACAAATTGATCCATCAATTGTTGGGAGCATAAAAAAAGAACAAGCACAGACTGAAGTGTATTAAATTCCTTAAAGTATATTTTCCAGGGGTCAGATATGAACTGGACAGGGAATATAACATTCATACAACTTGATAAATGAATGGGATCCAATTCTGCCTGCCACAGCCATGTCAGTAACGCCAGTAACGATTACTGAAATAGTTGCATCACAAGCCAGACAGGTTTCCTGGCCAAGAGAGGTTAGACATAATTGAGAGATACAGATTAGGATTTTTAAGACTAATTCAAGAGGTCTGCTTTTAGTCCGGACATCAATCCTCAAATTCTAACCTTGCGAGGCAGCTGGTTTCTCACGAACCATCTGGCACCTCAGGTTAGTCAAATTCTCTACAGACAGGTTAGCCAGCGTTAGGTGTGTCACCGAAACTGGATTTCCTGTTGCATTGAAGTTCAAAGGAATAATATTTGTTCAGTGTTGCTAGACTTCAAGAGAAGAGACGTGTTGAAGACGCGTTGGCGTGGCTGTTATTAAGTTGTTCACTGTTCAAGCCTTTGGTGGTGAAGAATTGCTCATTCATCCCTATAATAATAATAATGATAATAATAATCTGTATTTATAGAGCACTTTTCAAAGTCTAAGTTCTTGACAAAGGCAGCAACGAAATAAAATCAATAGGTTTCAAAGAAAAGAAAAACAGATAAAACAATCAGGTGTTTAAAAACCGATACAGAGGAATTTTAAGAGAAATAAAACATAAAACCAGGAAAAGCTGTCCGATAAAATTTTGTTGTAAGGTGATTGCAAAACATGTAAATCACAAGCAAATACAATTGCCTTAGTTGTTTGTAATGTAATAACAACAGAGTAATTCTTGGAACGTCCTCTCTGATAAGTTAAATGATACATTTGATAAGATAGATAATGAACAGTGACATTAAAAACAGAGAGCAGAGCATCAGGCCGAGTATTCAACTCCCCCCCTGACTCCACTGGGAAGAGTTGAAAAGCCTAATGGCTCCAGGGACAAAGGGTCTCCTGAGTCTGTCCGTTGAGCAGCTCTGTGACAGCAGCCTACCACTGAACACACTGCTCTGCTTCATTATGGTGATGTGCGGTGGGTCACTGTCATTGTCCATAATAGACAGCAGTTTGCAGAGGCTGCTTCTCTCTGCCGCAGTCACCAGAGAGAATCCGTCCTCATGCTGACCACAGCTCGCCTGACCAGCTTATGCAGCTGCATCACGTCTCTCTTTTTTAATGCTGCCCTCACCCACCCAGCCTCCTGTCCACCCCAGATACACCCCACACTGGCAGTGTCATCCAGGAACGTCTGCGTGTAGCCGGTCTCTGAGATGTACTTAAAGCCCAACATGTAAAGGGAGAGGAAGACCGTCCCTCGTGGTGCTCCAGTCCAGTGCTGCTAACCACAGTCTCTGATGTGCAGTCCCTCAGCCTGATATAGTCTGCCAGTCCACTTGCATCCTGGCCAGGTTTTCACTCAGTGAGAGGGGCTGTATGGTGTTAAAGGCACTGGAGAAATAATCAAAAACGTGATTCTCACAGCGCCACTTCCCTTGTACAGCTGAGAGCAGGCCTGGTGGAGTACGTAGAGGCATCTTCGATCATCCTCTATCATCTTTCCCCGGTGGGCGAACAGGTCAAACCCGGGGCCTGAGGTGACAGATATGCAGTGTTAATGCAACCATCCTGAAGTCATTTAGCACGCTGAGCCACACTTCCTTAGGCATGGGGCTGAGGCGTGATTTCTTCCACAGTGTGAGGACCCTCACTGAGGTGCTGAAGGGGTTCCCCCCCCGAGCTCAGCGGCACAGGCCTGCAATAGTTTTGGCCACGCCGTGTTTCCTGGTCTCCTCAGCAGTGATGATATATGAAAGGAGGGGGGAGAGGGGGCTGTGTTTTCTGTGCTGGCAGCCTGGGGGGCAGGGTGCATGAGCAGCTAACAGCAGAGGTGTGGGGGCTGATGGCTAGACAGACATTAGCTGTTAAAAGCTGGAACAGGGCAGTGGAACCAGTTATAGAAAAGGTTGAAGTAGTTTGCTCTCTCCACATTACCATCTATTTGTCAGTACGTACCATCCAACACCTCCCTCATGTTATTCTCCTGCAACTGTTGCGGTCGGGCAGCCTTTCGTACTGTGTTTCACAGTTTCATTGTGGGGCAGTTTTTTCCTTGATCAACATGTCAGCCGCTCCTCCAGGGGGATTCCTCCCTGGTTAAAGTGCTAGACAGGCCACTTGTGTTTGAGCTCAGTATTCCCTGTTTTATTTTTTGTTTTTTTTCTTGTTTTTGACTGGTTCCAGCTGCCAATCACAGGCCCGTCTGATCCATTGTTCGAGTTGCTTTGTGAAACTACCAGTTGCAGCTGTGATTTAATGTGAGCAGAACGTCTCTGTGCCTTTCTATTCCAATGTTAACTCATGTGATACGTGTGATAGTCAGCTCTGGAAGTGAACTCGTGTTTTGGTGCAAAGTAACGTCAGCTCGACTGAAGAACTAGTTCAGTGGTTCTGGGATCTGGACAATAGATTTTTTTGTTAGCTTCATACTTCGCTTTCAGCACCACATGTAGATGCTTCAATCAGTGAGCGGTATGTCTTTTGACAGGTAAGAGTGGTGCAGCAGGTGGTGTGTTATTTTTGTTTCAGCTGCTGTAGTGTAGTTGTTTCTTTTATTCTTGCACACCTGCAGGATTGTAACACAGCTTTTGCATCGTCCTCCTGTAAGACTCCTTAGCCTTTCGCAAGCAGAGTCTGAGGTCCCTCTGTGCCTGATTCTTGTCTTTGAAGGCCTTCTTCTTCTTCTTCTTCTTCTTCTTCTTCTTCTTCTTCTTCTTCTTCTCCTTCTTCTTCTTGAGGAGGACCTTAACATCGCTGGTTATTCAGGGCATGTTGTTCGCAAAGCAGTGCACAGTTTTCACAAGAACAACAATCTCCATACAAAAATTCATGCAGTGTGTGATCCCCTCAATGAACACAAGAACTTACATTAGAAAAAAAATGTTATATACTGGTTTAAAACAGAAAAGACACAACAACTAAAGTTTGGTTTGGCAACATTCTCAGTCAGAAGAAGTTTGTCTAAATGAGGTCGACTTATTTTATGACTGCCAGAGGCACAGTCAGAGGGCGAGGGGTTAAAAGATAACACATTAACTCTGTGTGTGTGTGTGTGTGTGTGTGTGTGTGTGTGTGTGTGTGTGTGTGTGAGAGAGAGAGAGAGAGAGAGAGACCTCTAGTGCCAGCAGTTAGATGCAGTGAAACAACTTCTAAGGACATCTGTCTGGTTGAAACTCTAAACTACAGTTCAGCTAGTGACCTCATGTCATCATGTCTTTGTTTCTCAGCTCTTGCCTTTTGTCAGTCTTAATGATTTCCTGTCGACCTTTGCAATGTTTTAAATTTTGAACAAGAACGGTAGAAACTGCTACTTGTCCAACAGAAACCTCATCTCTGTCTCTTCTCGTCTCTCCCAGGTTTGTTCGGCTTTGTGTTTGGCTTCTCAGGAATGCTAGTGTATGACGGCCAGAGGGTGAGAGAGTCGGGAATGTTTCAGGGCTACAACACTATTACCTGCACCGTTGTTGTCTTACAGGTTTGGTCAAAATACATTTGTGTATATGTGAAGCTGATGTTAAAATGCATATGTTTTTTTGTGTAGGTTTGTCTTCATGTCGAGCTTTTGCCTGAATGCAAGACTGCTTAAAACTCTGTTCTCTGTCTGCAGGCTCTGGGCGGGCTGGTGGTCGCAGTGGTCATTAAATATGCAGACAACATCCTCAAAGGATTCGCCACTTCTCTGTCCATCATCATGTCCACTCTCATTTCATATTTCCTGTTGAAGGACTTTAATCCAACTCGGTAAACACACACATGCTCATGTACACTCCCCCAAGGCTTGGTTCTAATTTCTCTTTGCTTTTTTAGCCATGTCTGTCAGTCAGTTATATGATCAATCCACGACTGTGGTCCAAACTGAAATGTCTAAACAACTATTGAATTATTAGTATGGAATTATGTGCAGACATTTCCTGACTTTTCCTCTAGTGCCACCATCAGGTTTCCATCCATGGTTTTTAATCAAATATCTCAACTATGAATTGCGATTAAGTTCAGCTCAGACATTTTGTTTAGTTCAGTTTGATAATCATCCTGTAACTTCTCTAGCACCATCATCAGATCAAAATTTGGATTGTCCAATACTTTGGTTTATGATCAAATACCTGCAAAACTAACAACATTCCCATCAGCCTCAGCTGTACTTTATGTTTAGAGGTAATTAGGAAATGTTAGTATGCTAACACGCTAAGCTAAAATGGTGAACATGGTAAACATTTTACCAGCTGAGCATCTGAGATAGCATTGTCATTGTTTACCATGCTGATATTGAACTAAGCGCCCTGTGGCTAAGTACAACCTCACACAGCTGCTGGATGTAGACTGTTGCTTGCATGATATGAACTGAGAGCGCAGTTGTTTGTTTATTGAATCCACTTGTAACGCCTCTGTATTTTCTCTGTTTTTTTTTGTCCTGTTCCCGTTGTTGTCTTTCTCTCAGGGTGTTTTTCGTAGGGGCAGTGCTGGTTATTGCTGCCACATTTCTGTACGGCTACGAGAGCAAACCTGCCAGTGGCAGCACCAACCAGACAAACACCTCAGTGAACTCTGCTACCTGAAGAGACGCCGCCCAGGACAGCATAGAGCGGGACTCTGTGAACTGTGACGGCCAGTTTGGCACGTGGAAATTGAAAATGTGGGAAATGTGGAGATAATCAAACCGTTTACTGCCAATTGACTCGCGACTGTTAAAACTGGATGCGCCCCATCTCTCCTGTAGGAGAGAATACTGCTTTGCGCAAAAGATGGGGGTCAGTAACGTGAAATACATTTTTCTCTCATGAAACACTTACAGGTGAACTGTGGCGCTTGACATGTCAACACACATTGTTGCAGTAAAACAAACATACTCTGTGACAGAACTGTCTAATAAAAATGTACCTGCAGTTTAAAGGGACCAGGAGGAGATTCTGATGAAACCACGGCCACATGAATGCTGGGAAATGTTATTTTATAGTTATCTATTTCAGTCAAGTAAATTGTATGTGTCATATGATATGGGAGAAGGGATGTATTTACAAACCAAAAAGGGTGTTAATGACGCTGATAGCGCCTGCCTCAAAGAGGAGAAAAATCCTTGACAGAGCTTCCATCTAGTGGCGGAATGAAGAGCAAACTTGCTGCAAAGAGGAGGGGTTACCTCTGTTCAAAGATGCTGAATGTCCTTTTTTATATGAGATGAGATAAAATGGGATGTGACTGCTTTGACCTTGCTGCTCTCAGTCTCAGTATTTATATCAAAAGATCTCATTTTAATGTTATTTAAATGCAAAATAATCTAAGAACAAATGAATAAATTAAGGCATCTTTTATGCTGAAACAACCAGCTCTGCCTTGATGTTGTTTGTCACTTCAAAGTGAAATGAATGGATGAATCGGAGCTGTAAGTGTGTATGTGTGCACCCTCATACGCATACACACACACATGCTAATGCATACACACAGAGGTAGGCACACCCATGAATATTTTGAACTGTTTTTCCAGTTCCAGTTGCAGTGCACTCAGAAAAACCAAACCAGTCTCTATAGCAACAGATGGCTGAATGAGCTGCGGTGCAGCAACAACTGTAGACACTGAATTAATATAACCTAGTTTAACCTCTGAGTATTTTACAGGGTAGTAACAGACATTTTTATTCAACGATGACCCTGACAAAAACAGAATTGAGGCAGATGAACAAATTATTTTGCCATTTTTTTCTTGCTGTTTTTTTTTTTTATGTCACAATCTTTGCATAGTTGTAGATTTCAGAGCAAATGAGAATATTTAGTATGGACATAGTGTGTGTTGAGGTGGACGTGATGGGGAGGAAAAGAGCAGGCAGATGGGAAGGTGAGGCGTGAACCTGGAGAGAAGCACAGATGGAGGATGAGTCATGTGACTCGTGTGTGGAGTGGCAGCCACAGACTTGGACTGATGACACAGTATGGCCTTCATCTGTGATTGTCTGCAGAAACCTGCTGCAAAATAACTGATGTCAGTGATATGAGGGGATATGAGATGTGGTGTGAGCTCATTGAACCAGGGTTTTTAAAAAAAATGGCACATATCCCAAATCAATCCTTGCCAAAATTCAGTCTGGTTTAATTCCACATCAAGGAAACTGTTAAGAGTACATTTAGATTTCCCTGACTGTAGGTAGATTTATGTAACTCTGTAGTGCAACATGGCCTGATTAGTGCCACATCAAATCTACCCTTGGTCTGAGTACAGTTCGGCCCCATTTCAGCGATGATATACGACGTGGCCCTCGCTGCTATCACCCTCTTGTTTTAAATTTGTTGTATGGCACGATTCCAAGTCATTTACACTGCACTCATTGAAAGCATCGCTGACATTATTTATTTAATGTGGTAACAGGTCCAGCTCATCTCTGATGGTTTGTCACCCAGTCTGAATACAATATCAGCTGCACTACAGAGACTTGAAAATGTCTGTGCATAAGTTTGGTGTATTAGCAAAACTCCAGTGAAAACTACAGCAGATGTCTTTTTCTTCCAGACTTTTATGCCAAGTGGGTGCTCTTAATACAATCTGATGGATGTATGAGTTTCATCTTAACCTAAAAAGATTCATATATAATAATATAATACTTTTGTCTCTTAAATTTTCTGAATACATCCTTTAACTCTGGTACTGAGTGTGCTGAAAGGCCTTTATTGGCACTGACGAGGTTTAACCAGCCGTAGGTTGTTTTTTTTTTTAGTTGTTTTTTTTTTGGCTGACTTTTCAATCAAAATGTCTTCAGGTATCAAGTTATACAAAACAAATGCTATTCTTAAACTTCTCAAGGACAGTTTTTTTTGTCTCTCTCACTCTCTCATGCAATAAGATCTACATAAGGATGCAGGATGCAGTTCTCGTTGTGGACTAATACCTCTGTGGTACGTCTAAAAACAGTGTTCCTTCCTCACTAAAAGGCAGGCAGATCTCTTTCAATACAGTCCAAAACTTGTCAGGGGCCAAACAAGCATTGATGCAACTCCAGGCCTTTGACACTAGTTCATTGTAGACTTTTTTTTTCTGACACCATTCTGTGATGTAATATCCTCTCTGGCTTGTTTAATGGTCCACTTTAATCTCTTAGGGATAATGAGCCGCTGGCGTCTTGAGAGCAGAGAAACCATCAGTTGTCTCTTCTTTGATAGGCTTCATGACTTCACCACCTTCACTGGCCCTTTTTCTGCAAGAGGGAACAATTCAACTTGGCTGTCTGCGTAACCACTTGACCCTCTTATTTTGGCGGTATGACCACTAGTGGAGCCCCTCTCCGTGGCCTCCACATTAGCACTTGGGCGTCGTTGGCGTTTGGCCTCCCCAGCGCGTTGGGAGGTATGGGCTCCTGGTAGTTGAGGATGTGCGGTTGCTCCTGGTAGGGACGACCCATCAACGAGGCCCGAGAGCCCAGAGGCATGTCTGGATCCACGGCGATGTCCACCCGCATCCGCCACCGCACCGTCTGCAACACGATACGCTCCTGGAAGAGGAGAGCAGCATTAGATTAATATCATCAATACTGTATAAGGCTGAAGTTGATTATTCATTTTGTCCTCTACTGCTAATAGATGTGTAGTTAATGTGCATCCTAATGAATGATATAATCATTTCATTTGAACACAGAGGAACGTTTGACTAAGATACAGAATTTTAATGCCAGTTTTTTGTCCCCTGAACACTCATTTCTGCATTGAGCAGCCAACACAACAAAGACTGGTGTGATCTTTTCTTGTTCTTTTACTTATTAACCAACAATGAGGAAAGCACGTCTTCTCTAAAATAGCCTGGATAGAACATTACACTTCACAAAGACAACACATAAACACTGGGGGCATTTTGATACACATTTTATGCTGGACTGACTTTTGAAGTCCTTGCAATCAAGAGCCATCGCAGGGGTCATATTCAGCAGAGTTGAAGGCAGTGATGAGGTACTTTGTAACTTTACACCAGAAAGTAAAAGAGCAGGAGGAGCTGATTACATCGCAGTCAGTCTGTGTGTGATGCAGGTGCAGCGTCTACAGATTAAGAGTTAGTGTTCTCCATTCAAACTGGGTAAAACATATTGATGACTCTGTGACACTTTGATTTCTGAAGATAATTAAGATACAGTATGAGTTTGATGCATGTGGGAACAAACTTGTTTCTCATGTGCGTTTTTTTATTTTTCATCCCACCTTGGTGACGGAGTTCATGGCCACCAGCCAGGTGATGAAGCTCTGGTCCCTGGTGATGTGGGTCAGCATGGGCGTGTTGCTGTTGCTGATGGGGACTGCCCAGGTCACACTGGGGTAGAAGTTGTCGTTCATGCTGACGGTCAGGCGGGACGGTTTGGACGTGGGGCCAGTAAGAGTGACCGTCTCAGTGGTGTTGCCGTACCAGGGGTAGCTGACGCCATCTGAGTCGCTGATGGCCTTGACCCGACCCTCTCGCAGCTCTGGTAACTCCCAGCTGGACCTGCGGCAGTGGACGGAGGAGGACAGAGTGAGAGAGGATGAGAGGCTTTTTTTGGCAGTGGCAGGTGCAGAGTTGGGGTCTAGATGTTCTGAGTTTGTGTGTGTGTAAGTGAGCAGAACAGAAAGGAGGTGTGCACATCCAAACACATACCCACCTAGACACACACACTGAACAAAAAGTTAAAGTCTGATGGTGTCTTCTACAGACTTACATGCCAATATCACCATAGGTGTTGTAGAACTCCATCTGGGTACAAGCTTGGATCCAGCCCACCACCCAGGTTTCATTACGGGGCACTGGTGGCATCACAACTCCTGCTGAGGCCCTGAAGTAAGGTGTCTTGTAACGGAGCACAATCGGTGAGTTCTCCTCAATGATGGTGGGACACTGGTCAATAGAGGCTGACACCTCATACACCACAATGTTCTCCCGTCTGATGCGGGGCTTGCATGCGATGCTCTGAATACAGCCCATAGTGCAGGCGACAAGCAAAATGAGCAAAACCAGAGAAGAAGGGAGCAGATGATACCTGGCCAGTATGCACATCAGTCCCCTCCGGGTTCCACCCTTGCCTGAAGAGCAGATCTAATCTTTTAATTGCCCATCATCACTGATTGGTTGGGAAGGGGGAAAAGAGGAGAGAGAGAAAATGATGGGGGGGGCGGGGGGTATCACAGTCACCATTGATCAAGCTTAAAAGCATCCAACATCATATTTTCAGGATGATATGGAGGTGAGAGCGCAGTGGGGACTGAGGGGGAAGTATCACAGATCTCCGCAGCCTCCTCCCCCCGGTCTGCCTGCTGACTGCCGCACTGCCCTTGGCGCTCGTCCCCAGAAACTGCAATCCGGCCACCCCTGGGCTGCTGCTGCTTCTCCGCCGTGCGTCCGGAGGCTCCTCTGCTCCTTGTCGAGTCCACACGTCCGGCTGCACGTCGGTGCCCCTTGATCCTGCTGCTCTGCTCCCGGCTCTGCGCTGTCATGTCAAGTGGCGACAGGGCAGCCAGGTGCGTCAGAGGAGGGGGGCTGGATGCCTTTTGTTTGCTTGGCTTTCCCGTATTATTAGCCCTACATTCGCGCGGCGCCCTCAAAAGATAAAATCGGGCTCTTCATATCTTTGACCTACATGAAAAGAGGCTTCATCAAATGAGCGAGAATGTGGCTTATAAAAGCGAGACAGCGGGGTTATAAAAGGCGATTTTAATGTTTTCCTCGCTCTGGGCTTCCATTCTTGGGGATGCATGAATGGTGCATCATGAATGGAGGCAGCGAGGCAGCATAAACGTGCAGAAAACAGTGACTGTACCCAGCCGTCTCTCGGTTGGTCGTCTCATCGTTGTGTCTCCTCCGAGCTGGTGAGCATCACGGACCGGAGAGCATCCTCTTCGAGCCGCGGGTCGCCTTGTTCGGTTTGGAGGTGCTGATGCTGGAGAGGCAGGGGAGGGGCGTCACCCGACCGCTGCATTGAAAAAAATAACAAGTGCGAGTGGGCGTGGCTACGAGCAGCAGCATCACGCCTCTGTGGAAGCTCCATTGGTCGCTGAAGTCAACACCGGAAGTGGTGTCGTTTGACTCCGCGACTTCCTACCCACCGACACTGACACGCATTCACCGGCCAGCTCGTCTTATTATTTCTGCTCCCCCTCCCCAACCCCGCCGCTTCACGCCTGCAGCTGGTCGTGCTGGTTTATGATCGGCCGTTTGTTCGGTAGCTTGTCTCAGAAGGTGCCGAGCTTGTTGTACCGGGCGTCGCTGATGATGAAGCCGCAGGTTGTGTTCGTGCTGGGCGGGCCTGGCGCCGGCAAAGGAACCCAGTGCTCAAAAATCGTGGAGGTAGGAGAGATGGCAAAGGACGATAAAAAACTGCCGACTTTTATAAGTAGGATTTAGCATATCGGAATGGAAATGCTATTTGGTGAATTTTAGGGTGGTTGTGGCTGTTAATTACGCTTTTTTGTGAGGTAAAGTGTCAAATGCATTTACTTCCGGTTGTCCTCTAAAATGAACCAGTATATTAGCAAGCTAGCTAGTTAGCCACACAATATTTATTTGTCCAGTTTATGTGCTGATGTACAAGCCGGTCTGGCATACATGAGCTACAAAAGTCCCATTTATATATTTTAAATTGTTCAGAAAACCAACGCGTTGATTTTTGTTAATGTTTGATAAGTTTTTCTTTGTAACTAGACTAAATGGAAATCTATTTATTAGCTTCACACAGTACAAACAGAGACAGGAGCAGATAGCCTATTGACATTTGGCCCGTGTTGTAACCTTATCATTGACTTATCTATGCAGCTGAGATTATGTAATGGTCAGATGTAAGTCTGGCATGCACTTGGCAACTGCACCATTGTCTGTTGGCAAACAGAAACATATGCTGACGTAGACATGTATTGGCTGAGGATCCTTTACCTCACCCAACCCAGATGTACGGATAAAGACCCAACATATGTGATCAAATGTTATTTACTTCAACTTAGCACTTTAATTTTTTAGTCTGTGTTGTAATTTCTGCAGTTATGCACTCTCAACACCAAGTATTCTGTGATGTGCTGTGATTGCTGTGTTTTTTTTTAATTTTTTTTATTGATAATCAGAAATAAATCAACATCAGCCTATAAAATGGATATGTCTACAGTGCATTCCTGATTTTAAGACTGAAATGGTAAAAATGTTATGTCTTACTGTTTTCAGCTTTCTCTAACATAATTAGTTTACTGCTTCACACACTATTCTAAAGAAGCAGCATGGGTTTGACAAAAAGTTATTTTTAACAAGCCTCCCAAAAAGTTTTGAAAGCCAGAACACTAAAGAATTCTGCTTTGATGTTTGTCTGAAAGTTAAAGTCATGAAAGCTAATGAAGCTGTGGCTCTACTGGGGGCAAATCATTCTTTGCTGTGTATGTATGTGCCTGTGTTTGAATGAGAGAGAGCATACAAGACAAACTTTATAACTACTACTGTCCACGGATGTTCCTGGGTGTTGGCTGCCACCCTTCAAGTACGGTGGTCAGTCCTGAATGGCTGCTATACATAGAGGCTCTTTTTATTCTGTACACACGGACTGACTTTTTCCTGGCTTGTGAGTGAGGAGGAATTAGCCTGTCTGGAAAAGCGGTACTCCTTGCTGTTCAGGTTTAAGGTTAATATGAATATACAAATGTACATTCTTAAAAAAAAAAAACTCTGACTTTCACCTAACTGGAAATTCACTCAGTGACTAATCTCAAAATGCTTTGTTTTATGAGTTTTTTAATCACCTTAGATCAAGTTGTCATATTTAAAACTTGCCTGTGTTTTTGTGTCTCAGAACTACAACTACACCCATTTGTCAGCTGGGGACTTGCTGAGAGCAGAGCGGGCTAGAGAAGGGTCAGAGTTCGGACAGCTCATTGCCAACTACATCAAGGAGGGCAAAATTGTCCCTGTGGAGATTACCATCAATTTACTCAAGAAGGTGTGTACCAAATACAGGCTGCAAATCAGGTTTGTGTTGCCTAACAAGAAGTCAATCCTGAGCAGACAGTTTACCGTATGCAACTCAATGACTTCAAAAAAAAAAAAAAAAAGACAACATAATATTAAACTTTTACTGTGATGACAGATTTTTTGCAAAAAAAAAAAAGTTTTGAATTTTGATTTTACTCATGCCAATATCTGGGCTCACGTCTCATGTTTAGTGCTGAAAAGAGTCTATTAGTCAATTTCAGGATGTTAAATGGTGACATCTGTTCATTTTTGAAGTATTTTATTAAGTAAATACACAAAACAATTGCTTCTCTTAGCCTTGTGAATGTGTGGGTTTAGTGTTTCTTGCTGTTGTTAGATTAAAATGTTTTGGTTTTCATAATGTTGGCCGCACATAATAGATAATTTGAAAACATAACTTTGGTAACTTATAATTGGCAATTATGCCATTTATATTTGACAAAGACTAAACGATGACTTAAAGTTGTTAATAATATTGAAGCAAATAATTAGTAGCAGCTCTGCTTTTGTTTTTTGAAAAAATGTTATGCTTTATTAATTGCAATCCAATCCATGTCTGACATGGATCATAGCTAATGTTCGAACACCGGTAATGTGTTTTGAAACTGTGAAAAAAGATCCCAGCTGCACTGTGAGATTGTACACTTTTCTTAAAATTTAAGTTTTCTTAGTTTGTCAGCACTATGATACAGGGTTTTGTGTGTGTATATTTATATATATATATATATAGTACATATAAATCCCCCCTAATAAATAAATATATATATATATATATACACAGAATTTGTGTGTCATTGCACTTTTGAATTGTCTGTCTAGAATCAGGTTCTGATTTGTCATTTGAGTAGTTAGCTCTTTCAATGAATTCAGATCAGGATCAAAAAAATAGTTTATCCCTGTTCCTCAAGGCCATGGAAGAGACCATGGTGAAAGATGAGAAAAAGTTCCGTTTCCTCATCGATGGTTTCCCCCGCAACGAGGACAACCTTCAGGGGTGGAACACTGCAATGGAGGGCAAAGCAGATGTCAAATTTGTGCTTTTCTTCGACTGCAGCAATGAGGTAGGTCATGGAAACTAGAAAGCTGAAACCCCTCCAGCTGTTTTTAGTCACATACAGCTGAGCTGATATTCTAGGATCTACTTTACACTGAAGACATGACATGATCTCCTTTGTTTACACAGGTGTGCATCAACAGATGTCTAGAAAGAGGGAAGAGCAGTGGGCGCACAGATGACAACAGAGAAAGCCTGGAGAAAAGGTAGAGTCCTGAAATACAAGCAAAATACATTACTTTAGACCTTATCACAGATTTGAGAATGTACTTTGCTTTTTTATCAGCGTACTCCCTGCAAAAATGTTCTGCTGCTTTTGACAATTGATTTCATGTACTGATTTCCTTCTGTCGCTAACAAAGTACAACAAGCATGTCTGATCAGTATAGATTTCTCTGACCCATTTAACTGACTTGGATACCTGCATGTGTGTTTTTGACCTAATTTGTGTCTCCTTTGAGTCCCCTGTGTCATCTGACCCCAATAACCAGGCATATTTTTCTGTGATGCAGAATCCAAACCTACCTGCAGTCTACACGACCAATCATTGAACTATATGAGAAACATGGGAAGGTTCGCACCGTAGACGCCTCTCGTTCAGTGGATGAGGTGAGTAAATGATATCAAGTGTAGGAAAATGTGGATGTAGATATGGATGCCCTTCTTTAAACTTTTGCATGCGCAAAATGTAGAAAGTATGATTTAAAGAGCAACATAAGTAGAGTGATATGAGGGATTTCCCACCAATTGATACCAGCTCCTTTTGGCTATTGGACTCAAATGCAGCTCGGGGCAGCAGCATATTGGCTTCAGCACTGAGCCGTTACATGAAGAATTTAAATAAAGACTGACCACATAATAAAAAGTTTGTCAGACTGCAGAATTTACCAGGCTTTGTTCAGCCCCACGTTAGTAGTCAAACTACCAACAAAGTCTGTAAAGGTTTTGGAGAATAAATTAGAGGAGGAAACAGAGGACTGGCTCTACATTCAGGCTCATGGCCATTAATTACTGTGGGACATGGGAAAATACTCCGGTCAGTAAATTGTAATGACATTGATGAGTCAAATGTTACCATAACTAATAAGATTAATCCCCAAAATGAAATGTTTGAACCATTTTTATAGGGATTTACCAATTATCAGCCTGGCCGATTATCAGTGGTAAAATATTTCTATTATCAGTAACATTTTTTTTTTTTAATTGATAAAATGAATTTCTTTAAAAATGCACTACTTTGGCTCTGATGCAGCCACCTGTCTCTGGTCTGTGGTCAGCCCTCTGTGGTCTGGAGCAATGTCCCGCCCACAGCACCATGTGATTGGTTATACGTCATGAGTAATAGCCTATCATGCTGAAGGCTGCTGTGTACACAGACTGACACAGACAGCTGCGGTTAACGAGCTGCTCCGGTTTAGGAGCGGAGCTGTGTGTCGATGGCAAGACAGCAGACATTACTGAAGTTGCAATTAACATCACAATCCTCTACACTGAAGTTACAAGAGCGCTAACTGCTAAGCTAAAGTAACTAACTGAACTGAACAGCATGTAAACAACAGCTGAATTAGTGAAAGTCGCTAAAAGGAGCAGAAAGCTGTGAGTGCTGGCCCAGAACTAGTGTAAGTTTAAATGTACAGCAGGTAGTTAGTCACTGTGATAAGGAAAAGGAAGCATTACCTGTGATACAATAGAGCAGCAATAAATGCCACTAGTATGAGAAACTCAAGTGAATGGAGATGAGACAGTTTGCTGACTGCAGCTCGTCAGCAGGTGAACGGTCACTGACTACTGTTACTGAAAAGACTTTTTACTGCAGTAGAAGTAAAACCACAGTGTTATTGAATCAGTTCCCAGGTGAGTGTCCTTACACAACAGTAGTTTTGCGTTGGCATATCTGTTCCAAATATCGGTTATCAGTCTCCTTGATTACCAATAATTGGTATTGGTATCGGCCCTGTGATCGTAGTTATAAATATGTGCAGCGCTTCAGGCTATTTTGGACTAGTTCAAGTTTTGAAATTTCTCAGCTGGAGCTGAACTGAAGCTCCATGTTTGTGTCCTCATAAGTCAAAGTTACCTGTTTTTCTCTTCCAGGTGTTTGCTGACGTGAAAACCATCCTAGGCGTAGAGTGATGAATTTTCCCAGCAGCCATCAACATTCATTTACATTTTTAGTTTCCTTTTTATCAACTGCAAGTACACTATATAATAAGTTTATGTCCATACATATGACTTTTACTTTGATTACATATTTTTTGTTTTCCATGCCTTTTATAATTGAAGCACTGTTTGTGAGTTTGTGTACAATATGTATTGGTGTGAATGAGGCGTAGACATGCCTAGCAGCTATTTGTGATCAACTAGTTCATGTTCAGGAGAGCTCACAGCTCATCTGCACTGCACTCTTTCATCATAGTTTGAGGCCTTTGCATAGGAACAACATGTATAATTAGTTTAGAGAGATGTTTTTGTTAATCAAAGGCACTTATAGTCCTAAAAGTCACTACAAAAACTTGAATACAGTTTCTCATTCCAGTGAATGGGAAAGTGGTCTCAGGCTTTTGGACCCCACTGTATGTTACTGATGTCTTCAGAGTATCATGTCATTGGAAGCAGCCATAATGCTTCAGACCAAATAGTTGTTTGACTTGATGTTGACAGACCAGGATCGATTTAGAACTTTACAGAGCAGCCAGTAGCCTGTCTGTCATCCAAATAAAATGCATGTGTCATGTTTCTCATAACACGGGCATGACCTGAATACTCAGAACTGCTTTTGTGCCATGTGGAGTTATCAGGCACTCTGATAAATGGCCCATTCTTTGACTGAATATTTAACTCTGTACTGGAACACGTGGATGTGCTTCATCATAGCCATGACACCTGGGACTAGTCATACTTTAGAGAAAACATGAAGATAAAAATGAACATGTGTTGAATCTGAACTGTATGTTCTTGAAGGACTGGAGATAAAGCTGAAAGGTGAAAACATTGACTTCTTTTCCCCCTTTGTTTTGCCCATTTAATATAGGATCTTTGTTCAGTACAACGTGAGGGTTGCCTATTTTGACAGTATGTGCTTTCTTTCTCGTAGTTATTGCCTCTGTATGCTTTACTATAGAAGTATAGTGCTGTTGTCCATTACAAGATTTTTTAAAATCAAATTATCAACTTCTGCAGATTTTACAAATACACACCACATGCACTTGTTAGCTTTCTACATAATCAGCCAGGAGGGGGCGCTTGACATCACTGTACAGTTAAAGTTTTGTATGTTTGTTCGTTTTGTTCATTGACTGTGAGTTGGGTTTTACAGAGGATGAAACATGACTCTTTCATCAAATAAATAACCATATGCTAAAATGAAATGTTTTGACTAATATAGGAAATGTATCAGCACTGGAATGAATAAAGAAACGATATACAAATAAATGTAGATAATCAAGAATAAATAAATATGTAATTCATTTCTACAAACCTACATTTAATTCTTGTATTTTTTTACTTTTTTTTATTTTGGTGTTTATTTACTTTTAAGTAGTACACACACATTTAGACTTATATATACATATACAGTATATATATATATATGTACTGTATATGTATATATTTATTTCAGCATTCATAAATGTATTTATACTTGTTATTTCAAATATGTATATTATAAATTCCAGCTTTAATTTATTCATTTAATTATTGATAAATGAGTCATACTTTGTCCTCTGTAAAAATGTATCCCATTACCCTTTGTACAAATATTGGATAATTGATTAGCTAACTAAACCATCTGCTCTCCTCCAAATGGTAACCCAAGTCAGGTGTTTTTTTTTTTTTTTTAAGTCTGAGTAGGAGAATAAATGATCTTTAGGAGTGAACACCAGGGAGAGCCAGAGAGCAGGTTTAGCCTGTGTCTATAAACAAAAAACTACCATAAAATATGTCAAGGTTCAGTTAAAAATAAGGAGAAATACTGTTGCAATACGTGCTACATTATATACATTTTATTTTATTTTCACATATATATATATTTTTTTCATATATATATATATATATATATATATGTATATAATTTGCAGTTACAAAGACACCTGCTTACATATTACTAATATTCCTGAGCGTTTTTTAGCTTGAGGCCTGGTGTATCTGCATTTTAAGAGCTATACACAACAGATTATCAGCTTCCATAACAACAGTACCTGACATGCATACACATAACAATAGGGCAAAGTACCAAATGCAAAATGGCAAATGCATCACGAAAGCAGTTTATAAGTACCGGGGCTTTCATATCATCAAATTTAAAATGCATTAATAGTTAGTCTGAGAAAGTGTGAACATAAGGCACTACGAATACACTGGTTTGAATGAGTGCACTATAATACATATGGTTACATAAAATAGGATTAAAACTTTAATGATCCCCTGGGGACGGTGGATCATTGCAGCACCAAAATGTAATGAGTACAGCAAAAAAAAAAAGACTATAAATAATATATAGCAGGTGCTATACACTGGGCTTAACAAATAATTTCAACAGGTCACAAACATTTTAAGTAGAAATATTTTAAAAGTACGAAAATATATGTATCACAGCATTATGAGTATGTGCAAAATACCAACAGGAGCCTAAAAATGATTGGAAAATAAGAGAAGAAAATATGTACATAGCAATTTTTCATATGAATGACAATCTGTACATATTACAATACATACCACAAACTATGAAATGGCAAAATAACAAGCCCCTCAGTGAAGCTTTCTGTGCGTAAGAAAAACAAACTAAACGTAAATATATTCGTACTCTGCCAGCAGATATTACCTTATTTACAAAAACAGCCTAATGAAAAGTAACTGCATAAACTGTGACCACATTATTGGGGAGATTCAAACCAATATCGAAAGCAAAACTGTAACAGCGATTCTCAATCCGAATGAGAAAGAGGACTGTCCTTCAAAGCTGACATTCTGTTAAGTAATTTGAACAATGGAGAAATAACTGCTTAAATTCACATTCAAAATGTACATTCTGTTATTATACATTCACAACGAAAGCATACACTTTTACAATCTTTGAAATACCAAAGAGCTTACACAAAGTAATGTGCATCATTTACAAATGCATAAAGGGCAAATATATATATTCATGTTTCTATCTGTGTATAGAAAAAATAAAAATCTTTTGACAACATGGTGCCCGATGCAAAAGAAAATCAAAAAATGACACGTGAGAGGACTGCAGACGGCTCAGCAGGAGTTCAAGAGGCCCGTGGTGATGTTGCTGGGAGTCCTGCGATACTGAGCCTTGGTGTTAGTGACCGCGCCGTGCTTCTGTCGGAGATGAAGCCTCAGCTGACTCTTGTGTCTGAAGTGGAGGTCACATTTTTCACACTGAAGAAAATAATAATAAATAAATTATAATCACTTTGTGAACAGGAAGTTTCATTCACCAGTTTTAGTTCATAGATCTCCCAGATTACCACTCAGGACATAACTATTGATAGGCACATGGATCATGGAGGAAAAGGGATTACTCTATTTAGCCAGCAAACACAGTGGCTTAGAAGAGAAGACTGATTGGAGGCTTACATGATAAGGCTTCTCTCCAGTGTGAATGCGCATGTGACTCTTGAGCGTCTGAAGGTGGCGGAAGTGGGTTCCACAGATCTCACACGGGTACGGCTTCTCTCCTGTGTGAATTAAAACGTGGGCGCGAAGATGGGCCACCTGCGGGAAAATGAAGAAATATATTAAATACATACAGACAGACAGAGGCAGAGCTTGCAAAAGCTTTCCCGGAGATGTGGCTGTGGCTTTTTTTGTTTTCTCACCTGGACAAATCGGGAGCCGCAGGTCTCACACTTGTATGGCTTTTCCCCAGAGTGGATCCGGGTATGAGTTTTGAGGTTGGCTGGTCGATTGAACTGAGCACCACAGATGTTGCAGTGGTACGGCTTCGCACCTGGAAGTTAAGATCACCGAGTTGTGAAATTAATTACACAGTCACATCCCTGAAGTCCACGTGATAGTGCTTTAAAAAGCCAACGAGGACTTATTAATCTTACCTGTATGAACAGTCTTGTGGCTGGCCAGGTTGCCCTTGTAGCGGAAGGCAGCCTGGCAGCAGTCACACTTGTATGGCTTGTCGCTGTGGACCTGGACCATGTGGTCTTTCAGGGAATCTTCATCACTGAACTTGGAGTCACAACCATTGCAGAAGTAGGTGTTGTTTTCTGTGGGAAGAAGTATTCAGTCATACCTCAGAGCATTTTTCTGCTAAATAATCCTACCAAATTATTCATCATAATATATATATATATATATTATATATATATATATATACGTTTGCACTTGCGGTGTGCACTTACCACAGCGGGAGGGGGAATACTCTGAGTGTAGTTTGGTAGTGTCGTCTCTGCTGTATGAGTCAGGAGAAAGGTGACCCATCTCCATGCGCTGAGGGCTGTCACAGCCACAGGAGGAGCATCTGCGGTGGCTACCAAGAGAATAAAGACCATATATATTGATTCATATAAAGGGAAGTTATTCTGTTTAACTATAGTACATAGTACATATAGTACGTTTCATTTTACAGTTTTGACAGTGACATGTAGTTTTACCTGATGCTGCTGCAGGTGCTGCTGCTGCAGCTGTCAGCACTCTGAGACATGGGCATCTCTTCTCTATGCTCACTGGCTCCCTCGTGTGACTGGACCTCACTGTGTTCACCTGCTCCGCCACTTCTGCAGGGACTCAGTGTAGGGGACATGTCTGCAGCATCAGCGTTGCCTCCCTGAGCCTCCTTTTCATTCTCATCAGGAGTTTGGTTCATAACGATGAACTTGTACTTCTTCCAGTTGCGGGCCTTGGCGTCTTTGGGGCAGTCTGACGGCTGTTTGAGGCTCAGGGTTGCATTTCTGCTGCTGCTGGACTCGGTGGGAGAGTTTGGCTGGCAGTCAGATCGGAGTGGGCTTTGAGGGCTACAAATGACACCTTTGCTAAAACCTGGAGACAACCTCAGGCAGCTGGTTTGCGGGTGCTGAATACTTTCTTCCTCCATGGGAGCAGCAGGCCCATGATGGCTCCTGTGGACTCCTGCTGGTTGGATGATGGTGGTGGGGAAACTGGGATGAAATGGCAGCGGGTGGGGGATGATGGTGGTGGAGTCACTGTGAGTAATGTTGGTGTTGGGTACCTGCGAGCATCGTTTCTGGGACAAAGCCCCCCCTCTGGGAGGGGCGCTGATCTTATGGGAACCTTCCAGCTTCCCAGCGGGGACATGGAGGTCACCGTACACATGATAGGAGCCGGACGTGTTAATACCCCTGAAAACATTGGGGATGTTGCACCTGCACTCCTGGACAAAGGATGAGGTTGACGTGCGGACATTTCTTAAGTCTGTCTCTTTTTCATCAACAGGCCTCAAAGCAGGGTTCTCCTCAGCCAGATGTAATGAGTTGATCCGTACCTCTTCAGTCTGCACGTTCAGAGACTGATGCCTGCAGAAACATATTCAACTCCACATCAGATTCCTTCAATATACAAGTCAAGAGAGTGTGTCCTATCACATTGTCTGCTGTCTTTTACCTGGATTTGATGAATCTGTGGCAGGTGTCAACCACATGTTCCATCTGGAGGTAGATGGCTGTGTTCATGGTGGCCAGGACCAGACTGTCTTTAAGGTTCAGACAGGATGTGTACATGAAGTCCAGCAGGATGGAGAAACCCTTCGGGTCCACTTTGGGGTCTAAGCTGATGGCACTAAGGTTTGCATTCTCTGGGTTCATGAACACGGTATAAAAGAAGCCACTATAAGAGAGCAGAGATGGAAACCATGTTTTATCATCTATTAAGGTGAGATGACACAACTCTGCATCAGTTCTATATAAGAGGTGTGCAGGTGTGGTTCTTTTATTCACAGAACTCAAAAAAGTCTCTTCCTTTAACAGGTTAAAAACATGTCCATAGGTACTCATGCTGCTGAACTCGCATCTCATGATGGTGCGTACCTGCAGGCCACCAAGATTGCCTTGTGAGCATGAAAATGCTGCCCGTCCACCTGTATGGTGACATCAGTCAGGATGTTCCTGCTGCGTAGGCGGTTGAAGTTGAGCAGGACGTCACCTGCATGGCGTGTGAACTGAATGCAGCCATCTGCAGTCGTGGCCATGCTGTCACAATCTGAACCAGGGCAAGAAAATAATGAATCATTTGTTAAAATAAGTTAAAAGTAAGAATAGTTAAAATAAAAATCTGTGACTCTAACATTGATCCACTGCTAAATAAAGGCACATATACTGTATTATGAGCACAACATTTCAGAATGAGTATATTGGAACCAATATGAGCACAACCTTACTACTGAATAATAACACATGCTCAATAAAAATGCATCATCATCAATTCTGACAACATTACAGATGAGATTTATTTTGCAACATTTGGGCTTTAACTTTGCAGCAAGCAAAATCTATAAACCAAAACGCACTTAATTCATTTTTTAATAAATCACAATCGTATATATATTCTTATAAGATAACACATACTCTTATTATCATATTTCATCACCTCCGGCTCATAGTCATTCTTCAGTGATACAAGCCTTCAGGGTTTTTAATCACAACAAGCTGACAAGTGTCTTGACTGTGTTCTGTCAAAAGGCGGCGTCATTGCAAAGAGAAAAGTAAGAGGGAGGTTTACTAAACATTTTGAGCCATGCCTTACTTCTTATTGGGCCTTAATGACAATGTTATTACATCGGCTATTACCAATATTTTAACATAAATTATTATTGAAAACTGTGATATTTCGTCAGATCAGTTCTTTATAACTTAGAGCAACGTTTATCATAATTTTGAAGCAACAACAACGGACGTAACCACAGATAATACATTTATAAACTACAGTATATGTAAACACAAGTCCTGCGTTTCTGATCTCTAGGTTTACAATGATGTTGTCTGTAATTTTCTCATCTCCCCCTGCAGTTTTCCAGCCTGTAGCAGAGCTGACTGCTGGCAACCTGCAGCCTGTAGGTTGTAAACGTGTTTGACGTTGAGCACATTCCGTCCTGGCTGCTCTGATTAGGTTGCCAGTACACAGAGAGGTTTCCCCTTCCCCGATACAAGTACAACTCATCCCGTTTAACCCATTAATATTTACTCCCCTCCTGTTAAACTAATCTCTCGAGTTATTTCTAAACCTCTAATATTGGACTAAACTGAGACAGCATGATTTGGTAGTATGTGATTTCAAGGAGTGATTAGTTTTCGCTGCGTAACTTCGGCTGTAAGCCAAAGAGCAGGCCAGCACAAGTCCGTTCAAGTTTAGAAATACGGTTTAGCTGTCATTTCTGGGGATTGTGCCGCACTTTCTTATGCTTTTACTCTTCTAAGTGTTTAAAATATGTGTTTTCTCGATTCAAACTAATGGTACAATCAAAAGTCGTCGGCTGTGCGTCGGAGACATTCAGAGAAGTGAAAAGATTGTTTGTCGAGGAAAGAAAATGCGCAGACAGAAAACTAGATGTGACTGAACCAGACCTACCGGTCCTGTTGCGCCACTTTTGGCGCAACAAGTATTTCACATGCCAAATATTATGTCAAATGTTGACACAAAATAAAGAGACATTGAACATTTAGCTACTACCAAAGACTGCTACGCTGGCTGAAGGTTAGGGTCGCAAAACTGATGTTTGTTTTTTTCTCCGACAGCAGCTATTATCGCTTGTGCTTAAAGAACAAGTGATACAATTATATGCGAACACATAACCTGAAGCAGCACTTCCGTCTAAAACACAGTCAAAGACAGTGCAGCTGTCAAAACCAGCTCCCATAGTTCAAATCTCTTAGTTCACTTCTAGCTAAAAGAATCACAAAACATATTCAAAATACTGAATAAATCCACCCCCGGTGCAGCCACATGAGCATCTGCTACTTCACTACACTTCTGACCTAATGCTGAGAAAATAGGAAGGAAAAAAAATGTCACCTTGTAAAAGTTTCCTCGAAACTCTGTGCACATCCAGTTCTGAGAATCCAGTTCTAAGAAACACAGCGGCTCAATTCTCGGAAATTTAACAGAGGACCGTACCATCTTCTCCGGGGCGGGGGAGCTGGTCACTGTCATCTGCCTCTTTTCAGCACTTCATCGGTAATAATGTAAAGTGTAACATATGGGTGCTTAACAAACACATGCATTGAATCACATTTGTATGTTTATGCTGGAATATAGCAGAGATTTGAGCGGGTTTGTAGTTTTCTTCTGTGTGAGTTAATCTCCCCGCGTCGTGGAAGGGTCCAAGTGCAAGGTCAGCTGACCGAGTTATAAATACCGTGGGGAACATGAGAGCAAGTTATCGCTGTAAACCTGCCCGAGGTTCTACGAACAGTAGAAAAGTCAGTCATCATATCTTCTAATAATTAATAATAAAAACATATAATGCCCCCTTTTAGTTGTGTAGTTTTACCACATATTTGCGTCATGTGTTTTTTCGCTCTGAATAACTGCTTTGGGCAGGAGCCACGCTTCTTTTGGATAAACTGATAAAGAAACCTCTTGGGAGTGGGCTAATAAATTTCTGTCAATACTTTAGGCACTATATTTATGTGAATATTTTATTTCTGTCACTTCTTTAAGGGCATTTTATACAAGTTCAAAGTGAACATTTGGATGGTCTTCTGGGAAATTCTGAAATAATATAAAAAATAATCTTACTTCTCAGTGTGTGTGTGTGTGTGTGTGTGTGTGTGTGTGTGTGTGTGTGTGTGTGTGTCATTTTTATTTTTAAAGTCACACATAAGAAAGCAATGTGTGTGCGTGTACGTAAAGTCCTCAACTCTCCAAAAGGCTCACTTGCATTCGTCTGTGTTCCCACCACTTCCTGTCTCATTATCTTAGCTGTGTATTAATCTGGTAACACTTCGATACAATAAGGCAAACAAAAATTCTGAGTACTTACCAGTGTATGAGTCACAATCAACATGTCCTGGAACAAGCTCTTTAACGAGCAACTAACAAAAAGTTCCAGAATAACTCTGAATTAAAAAATACTGTTTGCAATGAGTAGCATAAATAAAATGATACAATGATAAAATAATAAAGAACAAACTGCTGTATACTATGTTTATGAACCAGTGTGTAATGACATGCTCCTTGATATTTAACCATTGTCTCAATGACTTCCCTCTGATTAACAGTGACTCATCTGCTAAATGGCACAAAAGCACCACCTAATTATACCTATTTATTGTTTGTTACTATTTTTGTCTTTCCTCAAGTAAATTTGCATGTTCCTTACCGACTCCTTATTAACTGCTTAGGATTCTTATGTAACTTGTTACCTTAACCTATTCAGTACCCTGTCCATATGTACAGATCAGCTCCACTAGTATGTTAAACATGAATTTGGTGGACAGGAGTATTACTGATTGCTATTATGATTTAAATTAATATAACATCTAAACTACTAACTAAAACTTTACTCTATAAATGAAATTACATTTGTGTTGAATGATGACACAATTTGAGCACATAGAGCATGATCATGTTCATGTACTTCACTTCTCTGTTCAGTTAAATCTAATTTTAAAAAACAAAAGGGGTTTCTGTGTTTTGAGGTTGTTTATAAATATATAGAATTACCCTCTGCTGGCATCACCTTTCACTCTCACTAGCTAGCAGCAGCAAACATTCAGGCAAGTTAGACCTTTCAGTGGGGGGGGAAACAGAACTACAGTAATTGAGAACTAGAGCTAGAAAACTGTGACTTTACTGAGGACCATTACAGAAATACAACATTTAGACTTGATTAGAGAGTGTGGATTTGATGCAGTGTTTTCTCCACTTTTATATGCATTTGCTCAACATTACCTTCCACGGTGGTCTTGTGCATGCATATTACAAACTGCAAACACCTTTGTTTTTAACCATTAATAAACCAGTGTCCAATAAAGCTGAAAGAAAATATAAATCTTGCAAGGCACATCATCAGGGTCAGGACTTGGCAGTTTACGGGTAGCAAATTTAGCAACATTAGACACAGTTAAAAACAAATATTATATTGCAGCTAAAAGTATCAGCCTTCCTTCCACCCACACACAGAGCAGCTAAGTTTCCTGTCATTATCTTTGTATGTTGCAGAAAAAGAAAAAAAAAAACTCTCACAAACTGTGCCTTCTCCCATAAAATAAATGTGCAGTGCAGTTCAACAGGTCTAAATTACAGCTGTTCAGGTGGCTATGGCAACAAAGCAGGTCTATTTCTAGTTAATGTTTTCACCCTACATGTTTTTCCCCTGCGGTTATCTTTAGTGGCCCAAGTTTCTGTGGGTTGTTCATCTTCACATCCTTTGAAAGAAGCAATAGTTTTTGGTCTGAATGAGAAGAGACGAAACTTGTTCAGTTGGTATGAGAGCTTTGGCAGAAAATAAACATCTGCTTTTCTGGCTTGCTAGTTTATTTGCAGGCAAGAGGATGTATAGATTTGATTAGTCAGCCTTTCCTTTTCTTATATCAGCACAGCATCTTCAATTTCACATTAGGGTTTGCTGCTGTGTAGGACCAGATAAGCTACAGCAGATGTGACATCTGTACATTTAAAGGTCTAATCAACATAATTGCCCAAATATAGTGTGTTTGGTTTGTTTTGCAGAATAGATATCTTTTTAGACATCTTTTTTTTCTGCAAGGAAGTTCTGATTTTGGTTCACCACAACCTGCAGAAAGACAAAAAATATGACTGTTATTGCTGTTGGTCACACAGATGAACCCAGTTTTGTAAACCAGGTTAAATTCATTTTAAAGCAAGTAGAGGTCCTCTCCAGTGATTTTACTAATGCACTTCCATAATGTTGTGGGTCTTACCAGACACAGATTTAAAAAAGAACGATCAAAATTGAAGCAACAGAGGCAGAGATCTCCAGACTTTTAGTCCCTGGTGTGGGTCAAGTTTGAGGAATACTGGATCCTACATTTCCCACAATGCAACTTCATTGTGTATTTCATTGGAGCCTCTCTGCCGCATAAATGCCTATATATTTCTCCTCACTTCCAACTTCTAACTCAGACTTACGATCATAAATTTGTAGTCTCTGAACCCCATCTGAGAAAACCCTGATGACATCACTATGACATCACCAGAGTAATTTTCTAAAAAGGTTCCTCTAGAATTACAAAAAAAAAAATATAAATATATAATAACATGTATAAACAATAACATGTATTTTTGTTGATCTTCATTGTGTTTTTTGATCATCATTGTTAGTCAATGTTTGTGTGTGTGTGTGTGTGTGTGTGTGTGTGTGTGTGTGTGTGTGTGTGTGTGTGTGTGTGTGTGTGTGTGTGTGTGTGTGTGTGTGTGTGTGTGTGTGTGTGAGAAAGAGACATCTCATTTTCTACCAGGCCCATTTAAAGAATCTATGTCATGAAAACAACACTCCATGGGATTTTTGCCAACCAACCCTGGAACGTATTTGCTGCTGTTCGTCCTCTCTCCTGCTCGGCCGCTTAAAGAGGCTGTGCTATGTGTTAACAAACGCTCCCCACCTTCTCATGAACTCTACTGACCTGGGGCCTAGACGCAGACGGATATCAACGTGCCTGTCCCAAAACATGACCCAGGCACATGGTTGCCTGACAGGGATCAAAGGTCACATCAGTTAAATATGACTCTAAAACTAGCTCAGTCTTTGCAGACATGTAGCCTGAGGGGGAAAGAGAGAAGCATTCATTTCTGCTGAACCGGGACTATGCACTTGAATTTGGGGAGTAGCGTGCACAAGAGAAAAATATCTTGCAAGATCGATGTGTTTGCAAGATATTAAGACTGCAGTTTTACATACCACCAAAAGGCAAAAAAAAGGTCAAATGCTCAAAATGCAAAAGAGTAAAACAAGGTGCATAAAAACGCCTTGCTCATTTATTTATAGCACAAAGCTCAGTGTCATTTTTCAGCAGCTGTCGATGAAGTATATATTGCGCACAGACCGTGAAACACTGAATATGGAAAGTCCATGTGAGCTAAACATAGTGAACTTTGAACTGCTTTCATGCAGCCTGCATGGGCCTGACTGAGAAGTACATATTTAAACTGCAGGTGGTATGTGGTCTTTGTGTAATAATTGTTGAACCTCGGGTGACCCTGATGCATGAAGTATACAGTGGGGCCAACAGCCAACAATGTGTTGTCAGGTCAGCTCTTTATAGCACTGAGGAGATTTTACCTTAAGTGTGAAAAACCTGAAGTGTGAAAGCCGGTTGTGTGGTTGTCTGACTATAAACTGTTTTTGTTCTCAGGTCTTGATCTCAATGAGAGTGGCTGATTAAGTAAAAAGTGTGAATAACTTCACATGAAACACAACACATGACACTGTAGAGCTGAAGAATTAGATTAGTCGACTGAAAAAACATGTATTACTATTTATTTTGACAGCGGATTAAGTTACTCAAGTGAAATTACAAAATATATCCGCCCTAGCTTCTTAATTGTGAGGATTTGTTGTTTTTCTTTGTCTTGTGTGATAGCATTTCTTTTAGTTTCACTGTTTATTAGACAAAATAAGCTACTTGAACACATTAACTTGGTCTTTTGGACGCTGTAACAGGCATTTCCCAAGGCACAAGACAGCTACCATAAAACCTGGTGACATTTGGGTCTGAAAGGGAAGAAGGGACGAGGGGACTGTTTCATATTAGCCCATCGAGTTCCCTCTCAGCACTTGAGATATAAATTTTAATTCTGTGTTTTGTATTCCAACTTTGCATTGCTCTGTTTGTTTGTTTGTTTGTTTGTAATTGCGGAAAGTTTCCACCTCATCTTATTTTTGTCAACGCTGGAGCTTTTGCTGTTGTCACAGGTGCACAGAGTTTGAGCAGATGGAAAGAATTCAGAGCCTTGCTGTTCATCCTGGTTCAGCTGAGCACAAGATAATAACAGCAATGGATTACAAAGAGCAAAAGTTGGTGATTTATGTTACATCAAGCAAGTCAACTCTTACTGACAGTTTATTAAGATTAAAAACATTCATTTA